AGGTGTTTTAATTCGTGGCAAGCCCGTTTTTTTTTTGCAACAGTTTGGGGGGGGGGTGAGGGAAAATAATGAGAGTGGAGGGTGGGGAGCATAAAAGCATGTTTTTTTGTTGGAGTGTATGCTCCGGCGGGAGAAGATGTGAGGGTAAAATCGGCTTTGTAAGGATGATCGGGGTGTATTTCTTGAGAGCGCTACCCAGGGTTGATTGAGGGGGAGTTTGGAATTGCATATAAGGAGATTTGATGTGCCCCCTGGGGGGCGGGATATTTCCGAACGTTTGCGAGATTTGTGTGGAGATATTGGGGTATGAGAGCTTTTTGGGGGGGGGAATAGGTGAAGTGCAACATATGTATGTAAGGGGGGACATGCATGACGGGATAGGACTAAAAAGCAAGGGGTTTCATGGGCTTTTAATACCATGAAGAAATTTTATTCTGATACGGGCGTGGTGGGGGGGGGGCAGGGGATTCGTTAGTAAAAAGGCTTGAAAGAAATGGAAATTAAACAAGCGACCCTTGGGGATGAGGAATGGGGGGGGGGGTTTGCTTCGTTGTGGAGGAAGCAAGTGAGGAGGAAAAAAGGGTTGATGATGTTGTACTTTGGGGGGGCAGTGTGGCCAAGGAGAGGATTGTGGGTTTTCGGGGGTGGGGGAAGCTTAAAATCAACTAAAGTATGGATTAAAAAAATATTTAAAAAAGTGAATGGATACTATAGAGCAAGGAGGGTGGGAGGGTATTCCAAACAGGGGCAAGGGGATGATCTGAAGAGAAGGTTAAGAGAGGTTTGGGGGAGGTTTTCATGCGGTGGGGTCAGGGTGGGGGGAGAAGGCTAGGGGGGGATAAACCATGGGCATTGTGTTGTGGGGGCAACAGCAGAGGAAGGCGGCCCCCGATAGGAATTTGGAAGTGCACTCTGGGGGAAAAGGGTTTTTAGGGAGGGGGGGTTTTAAAAAAACAATGGAGGGGGAGTATTTTTTCAGACGAGTGGTATGGGAAATTATTGGAAAAGTAAAGGGTAAATAGGGGGATCTTGTGGGGGGTGTGGTTGTAGGCCCGTAGCTCTGGGAAAAGGACAGGGGGAACTTTTGGGGGGTGAATTGAAGAAGGGGGAAAATTGGGGGGCGCTTGTAGCCATGCACAGGGGCAAACCACCAGGGATTGATGGACTGCCAAATGAATTTTACTAAAAAAAAGGGATCGTTAAGGGTTTTTTTTGTATGCGTTTAAGAAGAAAGAGGGGGGAAATTGGGGGAAAAGCAAAGTACAGGGGTCGTTGTGCTTGTGTAAGGGGAAGGTGCAGGTAACTTAAGGAAAACAGGGGAATTATCTATGTGTGGGACAAAAAATTGTTCGCGAAAGGTTTTTTTGGGGAAAAGGTTAAAATGTGTAGTGGGGAAAAATTTTCAAAGGTCAACTAGGGTTCCAGGACGGTCGTGGTAATGGGGGATGGAATCCTAAAAGGGGTTTTTTGAGAATTTTTAGGGAACGCAGGAAAGGGGGGGATGGTGGCGATTGTTGGCGGGTGCTTATGATCGGTGGAAAGGGAGGGTTTTAAAACAGATCCCCTTTGCAAAAGGGTTTTGGGGGTGAGATTTGGGGGGGTTGAAACGTTGTATAAGGGGGGCAAAAGTGAGAATTCGATCAATGGACATGTGGGAAGTGTTTGGTGAACTGGAAGGGGGTTGAGGCAGGGTTCCCGCACACAGTTATTATTTTCATGTGTGCAAGATCCATTTTTTAGGTTTGGGAGAAACCAAAGTGGTGGGGGGGGGGGGGTCGAGGGGGGGCTTTATTAGGCATCAGTGGTGGTTACTAGAAAACCACACTCCTATTGGGAAGGGGGAAAAAGATTGGGAGCTGGGGGGGTGGTTTTCATGTTTTGGAGGGGGGACAGGTTTTGACGGGAAATGAGAGAAACAAAGACATGGGGCTGGGGGGCGGGGAGAAGAGTTGATTGGGGGCCTGGACGTGGGAGAAGGGGAAAGGCAGTTATTAAATTGGCATTTTGTAGGGGGGGACCAAGGGAGGCTAGGGAGGCGAAAACGTTGAAAGGTGGAACGCATGGAAGCGGTTTGGGGATGTTAGGTTTTTTCACTTGACATTTTTGCAACGGGGGGATTGTTATTAATTTCTGTACATAAGGTTTGGTATGTAGCAGCAGTTTTTCCATTGGAGGCTGAGATTACTCGTAAACTTAGGGGGTTTTTGGTTCTTATGGGGCTCAGGATGTGAATGGATGAAAAGGGAGGGGGGTGACTTTTCCGGTAGGAAGGGAGGTTTAGGTTTTTTTGGACCTGGAAAGGGGGGGGAAATGCAATTTTTTATCAGGGAAGTGGGAAAAGACAAGGGGGGCAGGGGGGCCACACATGCAAAGGTTGCAGCATATTGAGGGGGGAAAAAATGGAGGGGGGAATGAGGGGGTGTGGATTTTGTTGGGGCACTTTTGTGGGTGGGCGAGCCAAGAAAATTAAAGGTAGGGATTTATATCGAATATTGAGGGTAGAGGGACGGCCCCAATTTGGGGGTTTCCGATTTTGCTGGGGTCTTTGGGGGCGTTTGGTAAACTAAAGCTAGGGCCAGGGTGCGAGAGATAGTTTAAATTTTTACACGGATTTTTGCCCACTGGATCAGTCCTCAAAAAAAAGAGGTGTAGGAAGGGTTGGTGTGGGGTTTTGTGGGAATTGGGAAAAGCCATCAATGGATACTTTTGCGTTATTTGGGGAGTGTTTACCCGGAGTTTACCCGGAGAGAGTTCCGGGGGGTCAACGCCCCGCGGCCCGGGCTGGAAAAAGGGCCCCCTGGTGGTTTAGAGGCCGATCAACCCGGGGTGTTTCTGGGCTCACGCAAACCAACATACAGCCCCCAGCCCCGGTGATCCAGAACGACTTTTGGTGCTTGTCCCGTGCCAGCTTGAAGACGCCAGGGGTTGTTGGGAATCCCCCCTTTGTGGTGGGGGGCAGTTTTAACGTCTCGGGGCCCCGACACTTATTGTTGTCTTTACGTGCTGTGACACCCCTGCTTTTTATTGGGGGTGGTGCATCGTCTGCCAAGTCTTTTGCTTTCGTTTGTGGGTGATTTCGTGTGCAAGTTCGGTACTAGTCCCTCTAGGATTTCCGGTGTTAAATATGAAACTCTCCCTCCTGGGTTTCCGGGAATACAGGGTTTAGAACCCAAGCGCTCCCAATAATGAGGTGTTTTTTCTCCGTTATGGCGCCGTGAAAGCTGGGGGGCCCCTCTGGCGGGGGGGAGGGTTAGTTGCCCCCCTTGCCCCCTATAAATCCAGCCCTGAGCACAATATACAATAATGAAATTGAAACAATTTTAAGTTTGAAGTAAATGATCAAATAGTTGAGAAGTCATAAATTATTTAGGAGCTTTTTGAGTTTTATTGAGTAACTGGTAGGTGTTAAGTATAGTGTTTGTCTGGTTAAGTTTGGGTGATGAGGTGATATTTAAGTTGGGCCTTAAAGTGATTTACAGGCAGGGGTCCTGGGGTCCTTTAGTGTGTTCTGGCAGTGAATTCCAGATATTTGGGCCCTTCATGTACATACCCCTCATGGAAGGTTCCTTGATGCTGGTGAGGGGCTCTTGATCTGTGCTCCAGTTCCCTGAATTATGTCTGAATACCTTCCATCCCCCCCACAGGCGCTGTATAATCCTATGGATTTAGCGCTTCCCCCTTAATTATAATAATAATTTATGCGCATAGCATGTTGCATAGGGAGAGATGGACACGATGGATATCAAAGAGTGATTTGTGCCTTGTATTATGGCTGTGTTCTGTTGTAGTTATCAAGGAGGAGTTTGAGAGGAGGGTTAATATTAGAGTATAATGTTGAAGATTGAGACACATGAGTATAATGTTGTGTATGCGTAGTAGGCACAATAATAAGTGTGGATGTTTTGTATATTAAGCAAGTTAAGGCTCTTGAAAAGTGGTGGAGTGTGATGTCTAGTGCAGGAGTTGGTAATCAATCACACAGCAGTTTTTTGCTGGGTTATTAAAGGTTTAAGGTAGTTTGCTGTGGTTGAGACCATGTACAAATACCATAGGTGAGGTAAGTGTAGATGAGAGAGTAGTAAATAGCAGATATACTAAGCAAATTTCCTAAATTTGCTTGTAACAGGTAAGTGAACTGTAGATATGTAGATATAAATCAAAATATACACCTGTTAACCCTTTTGGGGCCTAGTTCCTGGGCCTTTTGTGTATCCATATGCTCTTGCACTACCGTCCACAGGATGGATATGGGGTGCACGATATTATTATTATAATCAAGGGGAAGCGCTAAACCCGGAGGATTATACAGCGCCTGGGGGGGGGATGTGGAAGGCATTCAGGCTTAATTCGGGGAACTGGAGCACAGGTCCAATTCCCTAAATCAAGAGCCCCTCACCAACTTCAAGGAACCTTCCTTGAGGGGAGGTGCACGATAAACTAGCCACTTCGGTGGAAAAATCTGTTAATTACATTATTTTCTACCGTATACAGAAATAAAAATTGTGTTGTAGTGTATTGTATTATATTGTATTGTACTTTATTGTACTGCATTGTGCTGTACGGTATTGTACTGTATTATATAATACTGTACTGTATTGCATTGTACTGTATTGTACGTACAATACAATATAGTACAATGCATGTACATGTATTATATTGTACTGTATTGTATGGTGCTGTATAGTCCTTGTGGCTTAGCGCTTCTTTTTTGATTATATAATAATAATGTATTGTATGGTACAACATTGTATTGTACTGTATTGCATTGTACTGTATTGTATTACATTGTACTATATTGTGATGTATCGTACTGTATTGTATCGTAGTGTATTGTATAATAAATTAATAAGTTAATAAATAAATAAATAAATAAATAAATATAATTATATGGGGTAGGTTGTAGAGTAAGTTAGAAGAGAGATGTTTGTTTATGTTGATGGTTGCTATGGTGTTGCTAGGGAAGCGTCACACTCACTATTATGGTCCTCTGCCTTGGCTTAGCGCTTCTTTTTGATTATAATAATAATAATGGTCCTCTGCCACCATGACAAATATTCTACCACATTCTGACACTGGTTAAAGTTAGTAACTTGCCTACAGTTAATGGAACCATGTTAAAAAAAAGAAAATGTTGTATTTTTTTTAAGAGTTGTATTGTGTACTTGTGTACTTCGTATTTTGTTCATAGGATCCCAATGGAAATAAGTCACTTCTGACCTTTTTGATAGCCCTTGTGGTTTAGCGCTTCTTTTTTATTATAATAATAATAATAATGACCTTTTTGGGGGTTAATAAGATTAATAAGTTCATTTAGGTGCAGGTATATATAAGTGCAATTATCATATACTATAGTTTAAATTACCTCTGCTAACCCAAAAAAAAAAAGTCACTGACTTTTTTCATTAGGGTCTTTGTAATATCTCATTATTTAAACCCTAGTAATACTCATTTATTGGGGTCCTTTTAATATCATATTATATAAGCCTTCCCCTCAAGGAAGGCTCCTTGACGCTGGTGAGGGGCTCTTGATCTAGGGAATTGGATCTGTGCTCCAGTTCCCTGAATTAAGCCTGAATGCCTTCCATCCCCCCATAGGCGCTGTATAATCCTACGGGTTTAGTGCTTCCCCCTTGATTATAATAATAATATATAAGCCTTAAAAGTTAAAATAATTAAGTAACTCAGCTGTGTGATAATCGGTTACAATAAAAGAAAATACAATAGGAAAAAAAAGTAAACGGAATTATTTGCTATATTAACATTAAAGAGAGAATCAGCTTACAATAATATGTGCATCTATGTTAAATATACAAGCAATCACTTTGTTGCTAGTAAGTTAGTTTATTTAGGTACAGATACACATAAGTCCAATTATCATACCTAGTAATATTTGTGTAACTTAACTAGGATATCTCAAAAAAGTCAAGGTGACTTATTTCCATTGGGGTCCCCATTTTTTCAATCCAACCTACATGTCTCCCATTCACTTAGGCACTATATGACTCCCACAGGTTTAGTGCTCCTCCAAGAATGTAATAATATTGACTTTGTTGTTTGTACCAAGGCATATTGCGAGGAACTTTATTCTTTGAACTGGCAGTACGATGTGTGACGGTTTATGTGAATATGTATTCAGTCGTGGGATTATACCTGGAGGGTGTTCTGGAGATCAATGCCCCCACAGTCTGGTCCGTGACCAGGCCTCGTGGTGGATCAGGACCAGATCCAGCATACAAACCACGGCCCAGCTGGTCAGGTACTGACTTTAGGTATCTGCCCAGCTCCCTCTTGAAGATAGCTAAAAATCTAATGTATATTTAAAGCAACCCAGAGTTCTTGCTTCTCTAAAGCTATCTGGGAGTTTCATTTCATTCATCTACAACTCTACTGCTAAACCAATACTTCTCTATATTCTTAATTATTATTATGATCATGGGAAGCACTAAACCCATAAGGTTATATCATTCATGGGGGGGAATGAAAGGTACTCAGGCTCAATTCAGGGAACCAAAGCACAGATCCAATTCCCTAGATGAAAAGCCCCTCTCCAGCATCAAGGAACCTTCCTTGAGGAGTCTATATTCTTAATAAATCCAGATTTCTCCAACTTGGATCCATTGCTGGAAATCCTGTCATGGTTAGATATTTTTGACACTATTTATGTCCCCTGTATTTATTCCTGTTTTCATTTTTACACTCTAATCATATCCCACCCTAATTCTATGCCTTTCCAGTGAGTGCAGATTCAGTGCCTTTAGCCTGTCTTTGAAGAAAAGGTTTATGATACAAGGGATAACCTTCACCATCCTTCTCTGTATGTCTTCCAGTGCATTTGTGTCCATTCTGTAATATGGAGACAAGAAATAAGCCAAAATGCCCCAGCATGTTAGTGGCTTTCTTTGTACCTAACAACACATGTAAAATGTAAACACGTACATTGTAACCTTTACAAAGAAATAAATTTTGTCTTTGTCTTGTCTTTGTCTTCGTAATTACGTATAAACTTAATATTTCTATTATTTATGCATTTTAACATGAAAGCAAGATTTCTATTTTGTAACTTTATTGTGAACACTTATACACTGTTGTCTTGGCTTTAAATTTCAGCTAACTTATCTTAACCAAAGCTTCTCACTTATTTTCACATTCATTTTGACTAAGATCTACATTATTTACCTTAGCAGTGCCATAGTTAAATACATATTTTCTTTTCCTGGGATTAGAACCTTACATTTGTCTCAGAGCTCCCGAATAATAAGATGTCTAAAATAATACCCATAATTTTTAACATTTGTAATTGTCATTAATGTTTATTTTTTTTTTTTTTAAGATAAAAGCATGGGAAGCTTGAGTGATTCTGATCCTGACTTCTGGGATTTGGGAGAAGATGGAGGTGGTAAGACATCCCGGAAAAAGAGAGGTCGCCTGAAGAAAAGGTATAGATATAATTATTATTCCTATTTTCATAACATTTTCCCTTTTGTGTATGCAGGTCAAGCCTTGGTCATTATAGGGTTCGGGTCCTTATCTAAGTTGATCAATAATTTATCCATTATTATGTCTAGTATTAGGTGGGTAATGTGAGGGACATGCTGTATTTCTTCTGTTTTTTTAGTTTTTGCATTTATGAACTGGTGTGTGAAGATGCAAATTTCTTGAAGGAACAGGCACTCAAGAATAACAAAATCTCAAATTATTATTACAGAATCAGAATAATTATTATTATTATTATTATTATTATTATTATTATTATTATTATTATTATTCTTCTTCTTCTTCTTCTTCTTCTTCTTCTTCTTCTTCTTCTTCTTCTTCTTCTTCTTCTTCTTCTTCTTCTTCTTCTTCTTCTTCTTCTTCTTCTTCTTCTTCTTCTTTTCTTCTTCTTCTTCTTCTTCTTCTTCTTCTTCTTCTTCTTCTTCTTCTTCTTCTTCTTCTTCTTCTTCTTCTTCTTCTTCTTCTTCTTTCTTCTTCTTCTTCTTCTTCTTCTCTTCTTCTTCTTCTTCTTCATTCTTCTTCTTCTTCTTCTTCTTCTTCTTCTTCTATCTTCTTCTTCTCTTCTTCTTCTATCATCTTCTTCTTCTTATTATTATTATTAATAATAATCACATAATACAGTACGTATGTTGTTCTTCCCTTCAGCAAAGGGTTTCCTGAATTCCCTATAAATCTTCCTGACAATGTAAACAAAGAAAATAATGACATTCTTCCAAACATAAATGCTAAGGAAGAAGCGAATGTCCCTGAATATATGAATAGGAAAGACCAGCAAAAAGAAGAAAATGTAGAATTTATAGGAAAACAAAGCATCATCCACGAAAATAAGAATGAGCATGACAAAGAGGGTAATGATAATGAAAGGGAAAATGAAGAACACACCAATGAAGAATCTGAAAATGGAAATGAAGCTGAAGAGAATACGGAAGAGAAAGAGCGAGAGGAGGGAAGTGGGAGTAGTAGCGAGTCTAGTAGCAAACGTACCAGTCTCCTTAGTGGTTCAGACTTGCCCAATGATTCCCCCAAAAATGCTGCCTCAACTGATGAATCACCAAAAAGTTCAAAAGGATCAGCTAGTGGTAAGTGTTTTACCATCAAAGTACTATACAATATATTATACTGTACTTATCAGATTCACAGGAAAGCACTAAGACTATGTGAGTCATACAGCATCTGGGGAATGGGAGATAATCAGTTGATAGTTATTATTAAGCCAATTTGTCAGACTGAAGTATTTATTACATCTTTAACTTCAGTTCTTGGGGATGTTTTCAAGAGGGCCTCACTTTACAGAGGTTCACTTTACATTGTTTCTCTAATGCAGCAATTTTTAATTACATATATCCATTCTTCATTTGGTCAGAATTCCTACAATAAATATATTCACCACTCACCATAAGCTTAGGATAAAAGCATTTTAAGATAAGTACTGTGTGTATTGTATATGTATATTTTAGGCCTAGCTCTATTGCTCACTTAATATATGATAGTGTAAACGTGTTATCAGGCTTTTATATGTATTTGAAAGTGAAAAAAAAGGCTATAGCAGTAGCTCAGAACAACCTAACCTGTTGTATAAGTGAGCCCTCCTGTGTACTAGTAAGTGAAGTAATAAAAGGTCTTTTGTGCACTGTGTTAATGGTGCTAATTCACTGCCTTTTTGTTGTTTCCTCATTAGATTCAAAGTGGATAGTTGAAGAGTACCTTCTTCCACCACAGCAGAAACTTAAATTAGCCCTTTACCGAGGTAGAAAACTGTTAGCAATAAAGGAGGCTGATGGTGCAGTGCGAGAATTCATTCGTGCTCAAGCTCTTGCCAGAATTGTTCATGGGGATCAGCACTGGAGATTTTGCCGATGCAAGGTGTTTCTAGCCCAAGCTTATTTGTATTTAAAGGTAAGAAAAACTTAATTTTTTTTTTTTGTGATTACCAATTCTGTATTATAGTACAATACTCTCACTGAATTTTGCTTAATCAGAAAAGCATTCAGGATCACCAGTACAGTAATGTTGTGTAATTAATATTCTGTACTATTTTGCAATAAATGGTTGAAACATGAGTTACAGTAAATAATTATTTGTTTATTTACTTATTTAGTGACAGTAGTTATTTATTTATTTATCATGCATTCATATTTGACTTACGGTATTTTTGACTTATAATGGTTTGTCAGAATGTAACCCCATCATAAGTTGAGAAATACCTGTAGTGTAATTAACATTTGGTACCAATTTGTGATTAAGTAGTTGAAATGTGAAATAACAGATATAATGCTTTAAGACTGGCAAATTGCTGGTCAACTGAGATGGGTAGATTTTCTGTATATTGTATTTTATATTATACAAAAATAATTATTCCTCCATACTGCAGGAATATGCTCCCCAAGGAGAAGCACAAGCTAGAGAAGCTTTGGATATCATCACTAGTCATCTTTCTACGATCTTGCACCTGCTAAGAAACCACAGGTAACTAGCTCTAGTAAGCTGCCCCTTGATGAATACTACAGGTAACTAGCCCCAGTCAGCTGCCTCTTGATGAATACTACAGGTAGCTATCCCCAGTCAGCTGCCTCTTGATGAATACCACAAGTAACTAACCCCAGCAGCTGCTCTGATGATACACAGTACTACCCCAGTCAGCTGCCTCTTGATGAATACCACAAGTAACTAGCCCCAGTCAGCTGCCTCTTGATGAACACCACAAGTAACTACCCCAGTCAGCTGCCTCTTGATGAATACTACAGGTAGCTATCCCCAGTCAGCTGCCTCTTGATGAATACCACAAGTAACTACCCCCAGTCAGCTGCCTCTTGATGAATACCACAAGTAACTACCCCCAGTCAGCTGCCTCTTGATGAATACCACAAGTAACTACCCCCAGTCAGCTGCCTCTTGATGAATACCACAGAGTAACTACCCCAGTCAGCTGCCTCTTGATGAATACCACAAGTAACTAGCCCCAGTCAGCTGCCTCTTGATGAATACTACAGGTAACTAGCCCCAGTCAGCTGCCTCTTGATGAATACCACAAGTAACTACCCCCAGTCAGCTGCCTCTTGATGAATACACAAGTAACTAGCCCCAGTCAGCTGCCTCTTGATGAATACCACAAGTAACTACCCCCAGTCAGCTGCTCTTGAATGAATACCACAGTAACTACCCCCAGTCAGCTGCCTCTTGATGAATACCACAAGTAACTACCCCCAGTCAGCTGCCTCTTGATGAATACCACAAGTAACTAGCCCCAGTCAGCTGCCTCTTGATGAATACCACAAGTAACTACCCCCAGTCAGCTGCCTTTGATGAATACTACAGGTAACTAGCCCCATTCAGCTGCCTTTTGATGAGTACTACAGGTAACTAGCCCCAGTCAGCTGCCTTTTGATGAATACCACAAGTAACTACCCCCAGTCAGCTGCCTCTTGATGAATACCACAAGTAACTACCCCCAGTCAGCTGCCTCTTGATGAATACCACAAGTAACTAGCCCCAGTCAGCTGCCTCTTGATGAATACCACAAGTAACTACCCCCAGTCAGCTGCCTTTTGATGAGTACTACAGGTAACTAGCCCCAGTCAGCTGCCTTTTGATGAATACCACAAGTAACTACCCCCAGTCAGCTGCCTCTTGATGAATACCACAAGTAACTACCCCCAGTCAGCTGCCTCTTGATGAATACCACAAGTAACTAGCCCCAGTCAGCTGCCTCTTGATGAATACCACAAGTAACTACCCCCAGTCAGCTGCCTTTTGATGAGTACTACAGGTAACTAGCCCCAGTCAGCTGCCTTTTGATGAGTACTACAGGTAACTAGCCCCAGTCAGCTGCCTTTTGATGAATACCACAAGTAACTACCCCAGTCAGCTGCCTTTTGATGATACTACAAGGTAACTAGCCCCAGTCAGCTGCCTTTGATGAGTACCTACAGTAACTAGCCCCAGTCAGCTGCCTTTTGATGAATACCACAAGTAACTACCCCCAGTCAGCTGCTTCTTGATGAATACCACAAGTAACTACCCCCAGTCAGCTGCCTCTTGATGAATACTACAGGTAACTACCCCCAGTCAGCTGCCTCTTGATGAATACCACAAGTAACTAGCCCCAGTCAGCTGCCTCTTGATGAATACTACAAGTAACTAGCCCCAGTCAGCTGCCTTTTGATGAGTACTACAGGTAACTAGCCCCAGTCAGCTGCCTTTTGATGAGTACTACAGGTAACTAGCCCCAGTCAGCTGCCTTTTGATGAATACCACAAGTAACTAGCCCCAGTCAGCTGCCTTTTGATGAATACTACAGGTAACTAGCCCCAGTCAGCTGCCTTTTGATGAATACTACAAGTAACTAGCCCCAGTCAGCTGCCTCTTGATGAATACTACAGGTAACTAGCCCCAGTCAGCTGCCTCTTGATGAATACTACAGGTAACTACCCCCAGTCAGCTGCCTCTTGATGAATACTACAGGTAGCTACCCCCAGTCAGCTGCCTCTTGATGAATACCACAAGTAACTACCCCCAGTCAGCTGCCTCTTGATGAATACCACAAGTAACTAGCCCCAGTCAGCTGCCTCTTGATGAATACTACAAGTAACTAGCCCCAGTCAGCTGCCTCTTGATGAATACCACAAGTAACTACCCCCCAGTCAGCTGCCTCTTGATGAATACCACAAGTAACTACCCCAGTCAGCTGCCTCTTGATGAACACACAAGTAACTACCCCAGTCAGCTGCCTCTTGATGAATACTACAGGTAGCTATCCCCAGTCAGCTGCCTCTTGATGAATACCACAAGTAACTACCCCCAGTCAGCTGCCTCTTGATGATACCACAGTAACTAGCCCCAGTCAGCTGCCTCTTGATGAATACCACAGTAACTAGCCCCCAGTCAGCTGCCTCTTGATGAATACCACAAGTAACTACCCCCAGTCAGCTGCCTCTTGATGAATACCACAAGTAACTACCCCCAGTCAGCTGCCTCTTGATGAACACCACAGTAACTACCCCCAGTCAGCTGCCTCTTGATGAATACCACAAGTAACTACCCCCAGTCAGCTGCCTCTTGATGAATACACAAGGTAACTACCCCCAGTCAGCTGCCTCTTGATGAATACCACAAGTAACTACCCCCAGTCAGCTGCCTCTTGATGAATACCACAAGTAACTACCCCCAGTCAGCTGCCTCTTGATGAATACCACAAGTAACTACCCCCAGTCAGCTGCCTCTTGATGAATACCACAAGTAACTACCCCCAGTCAGCTGCCTCTTGATGAATACCACAAGTAACTAGCCCCAGTCAGCTGCCTCTTGATGAATACCACAAGTAACTACCCCCAGTCAGCTGCCTCTTGATGAATACACAGTAACTACCCCCAGTCAGCTGCCTCTTGATGAATACCACAAGTAACTACCCCCAGTCAGCTGCCTCTTGATGAACACCACAAGTAACTAGCCCCAGTCAGCTGCCTCTTGATGAACACCACAAGTAACTAGCCCCAGTCAGCTGCCTTTTGATGAATACTACAGGTAACTACCCCCAGTCAGCTGCCTTTTGATGAGTACTACAGGTAACTAGCCCCAGTCAGCTGCCTTTTGATGAATACCACAAGTAACTAGCCCCAGTCAGCTGCCTTTTGATGAGTACTACAGGTAACTAGCCCCAGTCAGCTGCCTTTTGATGAATACTACAGGTAACTACCCCCAGTCAGCTGCCTCTTGATGAATACTACAGTAACTAGCCCCAGTCAGCTGCCTCTTGATGAATACTACAGGTAACTAGCCCCAGTCAGCTGCCTCTTGATGAATACCACAAGTAACTACCCCCAGTCAGCTGCCTTCTTGATGAATACTCACAAGGTAACTAGCCCCAGTCAGCTGCCTCTTTGATGAATACCACAGTAACTACCCCCAGTCAGCTGCCTTTGATGAATACCACAAGTAACTACCCCAGTCAGCTGCCTCTTTGATGAATACCACAAGGTAACTAGCCCCAAATCAGGCTCTCTTGATGAATACACAAGTAACTACCCCCAGTCAGCTGCCTCTTGATGAATACAACAAGTAACTAGCCCCATCAGCTGCCTCTTGATGAATACCACAAGTAAAATACCCCAGTCAAACTGCTTCTTGATTTAATACCACAAGTAACTACCCCCAGTCAGCTGCCTCTTGATGAATACCACAAGTAACTACCCCCAGTCAGCTGCCTCTTGATGAATACTACAGGTAACTAGCCCCAGTCAGCTGCCTCTTGATGAATACCACAGTAACTACCCCAGTCAGCTGCCTCTTGATGATACTACAGTAACTACCCCCAGTCAGCTGCCTCTTGATGAGTACTACAGGTAACTAGCCCCAGTCAGCTGCCTTGATGAATAAGACATGTGCAACAACTGGGTATCTTTACTGAGAGATGTGTCTGCACAGGATGCCTTTATAAATCTTATTAGATATGATTTGATTGATAAATCTTGTTGTGCAAGTGAAATGTCTCTTAATAAAGATATGCAGGTGTTGCACATGTCTCTCAGTCATCAACCTGTCAGTATTATATCATTAATGTAGTGATACCTACCTGTTGTACATTCTCCGAATATTTTTTGAGTAAATGGTAAAGTTCACGTCTGTGTTAAAAATGCAGTGCACATTCCCAACCTAACCTAGAATCTGCCATATAGTGTATAGTACAATATCATTCATTACACTGTAATTAAATATTTTCATTCCACAACACTGATACAGAAGGGTCATACTTATACAGCAGGTTAGGTTTTGGGCTACTGCTGTAAAGCAAAATTGCTGTAAAGTGAAACAAAGCCTTTTTCATTTTCAGTGTACATATAAAAACCTGATAACATGTTTACACTATCATATATAAGGTGAGCAGTAGAGCTAAACCTAAAAAATGTATATACAGTACACACACTTTACTTCAAAATATTTTCATCCTTAGTTTATAGTGACTGGCAAATATATTTATTGTAGGAAGTCTGAATGAATGGAGAATGGGTATAATTGAAAACCACTGTATTAGCGAAGTGCCATAAAGCAGTGTTGTAAAGAAGGGCCTGCTTTTATATATACACAGGTCCAATTTTCAGGAGTCCCTTTTGTTTTTGAGTTGCTTGTATTTATGATTACGTGAGTTACCCTGGTGAGTGGTCCTTCTGACCCACAGAGGACCATGTTTGAGAAAGCTTCCCCTTTATTAATGTCATGTTTGGCTTACACAATACTTGCTTAGAAGTTAATGCTATATTACATGTGATTATAAGCAATATATTTCTTTACAGGTTCACCATACTTTATTGTGGGGTTACCTTGTCAGTGGCGAGGCACGCATTAAATTAGAACAGTTTGCCGGGGCACAGGAAGCTCTCAGTCTTGCCCTTTATCACACTCGTATATACTCAAGAATGGTAGGTATATGTTCAAGAATGGTATGTATATATTTAACAATGGTATTGCCTCTGGCAAGACAGCGAAAGTGTGACTGTTGGAGAAAGTTTTTCTTTTTTGGGTCACCCTGCCTCTGTGGGAGACAGCCAGCGTGTTAAAAAAAATGTATATACAGTATTTAAGAATGGTATTACGAGAAAGGGGTCTTACATGTACTGTAATTCTAATTGTGTACTAGCTGTTATACTGTACCTTCATTATTACTTTATTATTCATAGAGAAGAACTGTACCCATAATGGTTATGCAGAGACTGAAAAATGTAAGGCAATTAGATTTAGTCCAAGAAAGGGGAAGGTAATTTAAATTGTTTTGATTAAGAGTTGTTTATAGCCAAGGCACCTCTACTTAGTGGAAACCTGCTTGGATTGTGATTTGTTTCCTGTCTGTATGTCAGGCATGTGTCTACTTGCATGAAAATAGTTGAGCATCCAATGCCTACACTCTGAAGGAAGGGTGGAGATATGTTGCAATTTTTGAACTGTAGTATTGGCACGCTTATGGCAAGACAGTGATGTAGTAGTGAATGATGATGAAAGTGTTTCCCCTTTTTTGGGTCACCCTACTCAGTGAGAAATGGCTGATGTGTTAATAAAAAAATAGTTCTTTTTTGTACTAGAGTAGTGGTTGTTAAATCATGTACAGACTTATAACTACAATGTTTTACCAAGTCTCTCCTACCTAACACTTTTTACATTCTCACCAACTGCAACAGGTGTCTCGGCGGAAGAAAAAGTTGACTCCTTCTCTTACAATGGACCGGGCACTTGATCTGCAAGTGAAAGTGCTTTGTGCTCAGGCAACCCTTTACACTAAAAGGAGAAAATACATCAAGGCCCGGGTATGTTAATAACATTATTTTAAGTGTAATGGAAGAGGTGTGAATTTTCATAAATATCTGTTGGTTTGTGGGTTTCTGTCAGTAAAAAAATATAAATATCATGTACTGCTTGTTTGACTTCATTTCATTAAACTTATATAAATGTCTTTTTCTTTATAAAGGAAAAGCTGGAATTAAGCATAAAAACAATAGAATCTGGTGGAACAGGAGTTGATGACCCTGGACTAGTGGGTCCTTTACAGCAGCTTGGCCAGCTACTCCTTAACCACAGTCAGACTGATCAAGACAGTGAGACCGGCCTTGAGTGTCTCACTCGAGCTGTTCACATAACACAAGTAAGGTAAGATGAGACATTATGCTTTGCGCTTGTTACTATTCTGGAAAGCTAGATATATTTTAAGGGAAGTTTATTAATGTCAATGGGGACTCTTGATCCAAGCAGAGAATTCATAGTTTGGAAATTAGGAGGAGGTGCGGGATTACCAAAACTATTATCCAGAGGGCTGACGAGGGGTTGTTGAGGATGGAAGAAAATACAATGACTTAGAAAGTGTATAAATCTGTAGTGGAGGGTAGGCGGGGTAGGGGTCGGCCTGCGAAAGGTTGGAGGGTGGGGTAAAGGAGGTTTTGTGTGCATGGGGCTTGGACTTCCAGCAAGCATGCATGAGCGTGTTAGATAGGAGTGAATGGAGACAAATGGTTTTTGGTGCGCTGTTGGAGTGCGAGCAAGGTGACATTTATGAAGGGATTCAGGGAAACCAGCAGGCTGGACTTGAGTCATGGAGATAAGAAGTACAGTGTCTGCACTCTGAAGGAGGGGTATTAATGTTACAGTTTTATAACTGTAGTGTAAGCATGCCTCTGGCAAGACAGTAATGGAGTGAATGACGATGAAAGTTATTCTCTTTTGGGCCACCCTGCCTTGGTGGGAGACAGCTGATGTGTTAATAAAAAAAATAATAATACAATATGTAATAATAAAATAATAACTAGTAAATATTCCATTCAGCTGGATGCCATTCACAAATATATTTTGCAAACATATGGTATAATCTTAAATGGACTACTGTAATTGTTTCTATACCTTTGGTACCAATCTAGAGGAAATTTAATTAAAGGAAATCCTTCTCTGTTGAATTTTTCAGTATTATAAAATGATATAGAAAACATCTGTTTGTATTAAATCCCTTTATCAAGAAAACATGGGACTGACCATTGTAGATCTTGTATTTTCATCTGTTTAAATATGAGGATTGTATGCATAATTAATAATTAGGTTAAGTTAGGTAAAATTCGTCAGGAAACAGGATGTTTCCTGATGTGGGTCTTAGTTATATGATAACCCGCCACTGGTGCTTTTGGTCATCTGACTAGGGCTTTCCACTGGTTTACCCCTCCACCCCTTTAAAAATTAATTTTAATTATAGCCATATTTATTAATACATAATGGATAATGTGTTTTAAGTAGCAATAGACCAGGAAGTGTAGCAGAGTGTGAAGCCCGAGGACTGTTGGTAGAACACCAGTTACGTTTACAGAGAATAGACACTAAAGAAGCTTTACGGGAGCTCCACAAGCTTGGCCTTCTATATTCTCGCCTACATGGCGAGCACAGTCCCAAGACTTTAGCAATACATAGCCTTACCGTTCAGGTAAGTCATATATTTTCTTTGTTGAGGTATATTTCCTAAGAAAAAAGTTTTTCATTCAAGATCTTTTATCCAGAAGCATAAAAGAGCCATATAATGGTTCAGGTCTGTTTGAAATATATTTTAAAGTTTCCAATGTGAGGGATATTTGTGAATTGTCCAAGTTCCAATATTGTGACTTTTATTCTTCAGATCTCTTTATATGATCTCTTCTGTTCTGCCAAGGGATAGATATGCTTCATATCTCTTTATATATCTCTTCTTCACTGCTGAAGGATAGATGTGCATCACATATCTTTATATGATCTCTTCTTCACTGCTGAGGGAGAGAAGTGTAGCTGTTGTTTGGAGAGAATTTACAAATTGCAATGTCAGTGCACTTCACATAAGATAGCTATTCAGTGAATGATGGAAAAAATTTTCCTATAGCACATGTGGTAAAAAAAAAATTTTGATCTTTAACCCTTTGACTGTTTACGCCGTATAAATATGTCTTACACGCCACTGTTTCTGACGTATCTATACGCATAAATTCTAGCGGCTTCAAATCAAGCAGGAGAAAGCTGGTAGGCCCACATGTGAGAGAATGGGTCTCCATGGTCAGTGTGCACCATATAAAAAAAAATCGGGGAGCCAGAGGTGCATTGTGGGAATGCCATTTCCATTGTCCTTTTTCAGCATGCCTAGCAGTAAGAAATATGTGATTCCCCAGCAAATCTGGGACTCTTCTCTTCCAAAGTGATGCTCTAACACAGATGGAAGTGTCAGTGAAGATCAATTTCATGGTTTTGAGGAGTTTGAGACCAAAAGCAATGCCCAGGATACCAGAAGAATGGAGAGAAGGAGAGGAGGAGGAGGAGGAAGAAGAGGAGGAGGAGGAAGAGGAGGAGGAAGAAGAGGAGGAGGAAGAGAGGAGGAGGAAGAAGAGGAGGAAGAAAAAGAGGAGGAAGAAGAAGAGGAGGAGGAAGAGGAGGAGGAGGAAGAAGAGGAGGAGGAAGAAGAGGAGGAAGAGGAGGAGGAAGAAGAGGAGGAGGAAGAGGAGGAGGAGGAAGAGAGGAGGAGGAGGAGAGAAGGAGGAAGAATAATAATATGTTCCCTTGAAGCATGGAAAACAGTTCACCCTGACAGTGACAAGATAAGGTGAGATAATATCTGATAAGAGCTGACGTTTGATGAGCGTAAAGGAGGGTGGAGGGAGGGTGCAGCTGATAAGAAAAGATTAGATGACCATTCCCCTCCCTCTGTTTTTGCTGGTACACAAACATTTCTGTCTGACTATTTGTCTGTCTGTCAAGCTCCCTGTCTATCCATCTAGCTCTCTGTCTCAGAGAGAGCCACAAACTGCCTCATCACGTTTACTCACATCTTCAAGCAGAGTATAGCACTTTGTCTGGATTTCTTGGGTTATCCTAGGTAATTTACACTATGTATACTTGAATTTATGTGTACCTGTGAGACAGAGATAGGCAGACAGATAGAAAGAGAGACAGATTGAAAGAGATAGAATGAGGGAGAAAGATAATTAGATAGAATGGAGGGGAAGCAGCATCCGACCCCATTGTTTTGACAGGCGGTAGGGGGAGTGAGTAATGAGACAATATGTCATTTTGACAGCTGCCGACTCCTGATTCAAAACAATTATAAGCCACACACTGGCACACAAGACAAGCTTGCTGAATGGAGATAATAGCAGTTATATGAAAGTATCTATTGACTATATATGTGTATATATATTATAGAAACCAGAAGCAAGAAGGGAAGGCAGGAATGAAGGAAGGACAGATGAAGGAATGTAGGAAGAGAGGAAAGGAATGCAGGAAAGGAATGAAGGAAAGGAATGAAGGAAAGGAATACAGGAAAGGAATGAAGGAAAGGAATGCAGGAAAGGAATGAAGGAAAGGAATGAAGGAAAGGAACGAAGGAAAGGAACAAAGGAAAGGAATGAAGGAAAGGAATGCATGAAAGGAATGCAGGAAAGGAATGAAGGAAAGGAATGAAGGAAAGGAATGAAGGAAAGGAATGCAGGAAAGGAATGATGGAAAGGAATGAAGGAAAGGAATGAAGGAAAGGAATGCTGGAAAGGAATGAAGGAAAGGAATGCAGAAAAGTAGGAAGGAAGGAATAATGACACACGACCATTTACCAAGGAACTCTCTCCAGGTAAACTCCAGGTAAACAACTACATAACACAACTGCCTGCTAATACTTTGAAGAAAACTGCTCAGACGAGGTGTTTTGTCTTTGCACATAAAAAAAAAGTCCACAAAAATGCACACACACTGGTTTTATGTGTGAGGAGTGTAAAACACCATAGTGTATGAAAACATGTTTCAAAGAGTTCCACAAGCTGCAGAACTTCTAGGAATATTTTCCGTAACTGTACATTGGTGTATATATTATAGAACAATAGTAATGAACAATTTTTTGTATTGTTTGTTTTTATAAACAAGTTTTGTAAACAATATATTGATAATTATGTTTGTGTGCTTATTGTGTTGTATACAACGATGTAATATGTACATTGCACCTTACTTTGGTCTCACAGGCCACATAAGTTATGTGAAAAAATAAAATAGTGAAAAAAAAAAAAACCTTCAAATACAAGTAAACTAAAGTTTACCTGGTGAGCGGCAGTCACCGCTGTTGCCATACGCGGCTCATTTTCTGCAAACTTCACAGCTCTATATCTCAGTAAGTACTGATGGCAAAAAAAAAATTTGAACTAAAACACTCAGAAAAATAATCTTAACATTTTCATAAGAAAAAATAATTTATTTTTTTTTTTCAAATATTTTGCGACATAGAATGACAGTTTCAGAAAGGGGCCTGCGACAGTCAAAGGGTTAATACAATTTGAAACAGTCAGTGTATCTTTTATAGGTTCTAGTACAAGAGGAAGCCTATGAAGAAGCTATCCAGCAGCTCAAGATAAGACTGAAGCACTGCCGGGATGCCTATGGTGACTACAGCTCCCAGGTAATCTTCATGAGTTTTTAAAGAAGAAAAAGGCACAATACTGTGACTGGAACAATACATAAATAACCTGCACATGGGAGAAAAAACTCATGATGTTTCAGTCCAAGATGGACTGAGATGTCATCATAAGTTTCTTTCTTCTATGTGCAGGTTTTGTATTCATGTGTTTTTGTATGTATTTTTAATTATACAGCCTCTCCTCACTTAAAAACGGAGTTCCGTTCCTAAGACCACGTCGTTAAATGAATTCATCACTAAGTGAGGAGCATACTATAGTCGTAGTGAGTTTTGTCAACCATCTGGTATATTTACAAATGTTTATACAGTACTGTATTGTACGTATATTGAAATAAACAGAATAGAGAAAATCAGCTCTAATATACACTATTTAGGTATGAATACTGCTCAGAGAGACCGTCATAAGTCCGAGGCATCGGTAAATGTGTACATCGCTAAGTGAGGAGAGGCTGTATTGCAATTATTAAATGTGATTAAGGGGATGAGGGTTCCACACTCACATATTGCATATTTATCTTATATTTTCTGTATAGTGTCATGAAAGAATCCATATTGAGATTCTTGACAGTTGTTCTTATAGGTATTTGAAGGCATTGCATGCACAGCTGACATTACATTTATGTGATCCTTAGGTGGTAGGTCTACAGGGTGGGTCTGGGCCTATTACTTTTAGAAAAATATTTGTTTTTCATATCTTCATCATGGCCAGATAGGTTAGGTTAGGTTAGGTAAAGTTTGTCAGGAAACTGAACAAGTGTTTCTTGAAGTGGGTTACAGTCACATGATGACCTACAGCTGGAGCTTTTGGTCATCTGACCAAGGCCTTCCACTGACCGCCACTCCTTTAAAAATTATGGTTATGATTATAATCATTAGAAATTCATGGCTAGTTGGCAACATTCAAGGTAAGATTACTTAATTAGTTCTCTTTTGAGTTTAAAGTGGTGTCTTTGTGTTCTGTGTTCATAAAAAAATTTCTCATAGAATATACGTATTGTGAGAATGTTCCATTTTTCATTTTTAGGTAATATCTAAAAATGCCCCCTCCCCCCTTTTTTTCTGCTTTTCTTCTTATGTTTTTATGCCAATATTTAGTGTACATACAATTCCAGGTAATACTAAACCTATATTTAAAGGTATGTGGAGTATTGCGTCAACTTTACCGCGTCCATTCTCTTAATGGTGACCCAAGTGCTGCAGCTTCTACCCTCGACCAGTGCCTTCATGTTGAGACATTAATTTATGGGTCTTCTTCAAGAAGAGCTCAGGCATCTCATCTCAGATTACAGGAAATGATTCAGTGAGTTTTAAAGATTACTTTTGTGATTTTGTGTGTAGTACTATAGTACAGTACTATATTTCTTCGTAACACTCAGAGCTTAGCACTTCATATGACACAATAATTCATAACACAGTACATACCTTTCATGATCCTGTCTGTTGACTTGCTACAGAGTAATTTAACTGGTCAGTAAGCTAACTTGGAGTAGGAAGCTAGTAACTTCTCCTGTATATATTACTAAATGTAAAAAGAGAAACTGAAGGTTTTTTCTTTTTCGGGTCACTCTGCCTATGTGGGAGATAGCTGGTGTATTAAAAAAAATGTTAACTTGTGAGCAAACAATATATATAACATACAAAGAAATTAGGGAATAATTCCTGCCATGTCCTTGCATTATAATATATTAACCAGTGTTCCATTACAGTTGTTGTACACTTACAACTCCAGAGCTCTCGGTGAATAGTCTCTAATCACAGTAGTGAAACACCAAAAAGTTTGGTACTTCCTGAAGCACGGTAACATACACACACACATGTACATCAAAGGATACCAAAGAACTGATATAAAAGATTTACTAGCATCATCAACAGGGTTTAAAGGAGGCTGTTGCTATCACCTAAGAATTAAGGGGTACTGAAATGATATTGGAAAATTTTTCTTCACAGTGGGCTACAAATGGAGGTAATATGTCCTCTGGATATGGAAAACTAAAAAATTATAGTAATAAAATACTATACCAAAGATAGCACATCACTGCCTTAGCTCTGCTCCTATAGCTACATATAGGTAATCTCAGACAAACCACTGTTGTAATGTGGTCTCTTAAAAATATAATACGTACTTAAGATTGCTATGTACTACCACCAATCAAACACAACTCATTGCTATTATTATGAGCATGGGGAAGTGCTAAACCCATAGAATTGTTGGTGGGTATCAGCATAATGGATGTCAAACTCATGGTCAGATCAGTGGAGGACAGGTGATAACTCAACATGGTCATAGCAAGATTAATAAAGGACAGGTGATAACTCTTCATAGTCATAACAAGATTAATAAAGGTTAGGTGATAACCCTTCATGATAATGATTGCCTCACATTCGCTAATTTCGACTGAAAAGACCACATAATATGACTTATTGATACTAGTTGTCTTTGTTAATAGTGAATATAAATATTAACAGGAGGTCCCTGCTTATACAGCAGGTTAGGTAAAGTGATGTAAAGGTAATCATAGCCTTTTGTCACTTTTGAATGCATGTAAAAGCCTGATAACATATTTACACTATCATATATTAAGTGAGCAATAGAGTTAGGCCTAAAATATGCATATACAGTACACACATTACTTTTTTTTTATTTATTATTATCACACTGGCTGATTCCCACCAAGGCAGGGTGGCCCGAAAAAGATAAACTTTCACCATCATTCACTCCATCACTGTCTTGCCAGAAGGGTGCTTTACACTACAGTTTTTAAACTGCAACATTAACACCCCTCCTTAACACATTACTTACCTTAAAATATTTTCATCCTTGGCTTATAGTGAGTGGTGGATACATTTATTGTAGGAAGTCTGAATAAATGAAGAATGGGCAATTGAAAATCACAGTATTAGCAAAATGCTGTATAGTAGGGCCTGCCTGTATATTTCTTCCTATTTTAAATATTAACTTTCATATTAGCATCTTACATTTTTCTCTCTTCTCTCGATTGTTCGTATAAAGTCTAATATCAATACAGTTTAACTATTTTAAAAGAATTATTTTTAATAAAACATATAACTATTTTGTTTTTCTTTCAGAAAACTACCATTGTCAATGAGGATGAAGATGTATAGAAAGCATCCAGAATTGCAGAACAAGCCACGATTTAGAAATATGTAGTCACCCTTGTAGATATTATTATTTATTAATATAATAATAACTAAGTGCTAAACCCACAAGGGTCATACAGCACAGCTCTTGTAGATATGGATTGATTTCTGTGATAATTTATTGGAGGCATTGCTGCTTAAAAGTTTCCTGTATAGAATGATTGATATTTGTAGTTTTTGATGGTAGCTTTCTTAGCTGTTTAACAGTACTACTGATCTTAATAATGTTGGTAGAATTACCGACTATGTTAGATAAAAGGACATAGGTGCAATTAATGTGACATTGTATTGTGGCAACATTTTGTTCTCCAGGAGCTTTGTAACTGCTTGACAATGGCTTCATAATGGCTTGACAAAGCTCCTGGAGAGTGAAACGTTCCCACAATAAATTGTCACATTAGTTGTATTTGTGTCCTCTTACCTAACAGTACTATGATCGCTGCTCAATAATACAATTCAGTAGACTGTATAAATAAAGTTACTGTATGACACTCATTATTATACAGTTGTTTGATTGAACCAAGGCTTTGAACAGAACTGGTAACTATACTGTGAACTCATGAACACAATTCAACACATCGGCTGTTTCCCACCAAGGCAGGGTGACCCGAAAAAGAAGAAACACTTTCATCATCATTCACTCCATCACTATCTTGCCAGAAATGTTCTTCTTGGTTTGTCGGTGCTGTCCTGGCCTGGGTCTTTAACAGATGGTGGCCCGGCGGACAGAAGTGTGCCAACATTATGGTTCAAGAACTGGAACATATCTCCACCCCTCCTTGCAGCACTGTATGACCCTTGTGGGTTTAGTGCTTAGTTATGATTGTAATAATAATAATAATAATCCACCACCTCTCCTTCAGAGTGCAGGCAATGTACTTCCCACCTCCGGGACTCAAGTCTGGCTAACTGTGTCATATATTCATTAATGTCACCATTGTTCTCAGGATTTAGCTGATAATGTTAAACAGTATTTGGCTTGTGAAGGATGCAGAGCTTTTTCAAATCTGCTTTGTTTTAAAAAATGAGAAAACAATAACATCTAGAGCATTTAAATGCAGTCTACGAGGCCTGGTCATAGACTAGTGCGACAATTTTATGTGGAGCAAGTCGTGGTCAACTGTATCAAAAGCTTTACGTAAGTCAATGAAGATCCCCAGTGGGACTTCTTTTTTCTCTATTGCTGTATAAATATGTTCTAGCATGTGGATAATAGCATCATTAGTATTTTTATTAGGCCTAAACCCAAATTGACAGGGGTTGAGTATGTTGTGGGAGATGAGGTAGGAATAGATACGCTTATGGATTAATTTTTCAAAGATTTTAGAGAGAGGGTGTAAGTTGGATACTGGCCTATAGTTATTCAAGTCTGTGTGGTCTCCTCCTTTATGGATCGGGGTGACCCTTGCTATTTTGAGAACTGTAGGAAAGGTAGAGGATTCAATGGATTTGTTAAAGAGTGTTGCAATGATTGGTGATAGCACCTGTGACACTTTTTTGTATATAATGGGTGGTAAGGTATTTAAATCTCCTGTCTTGTGTTTTAGTTTGTTGATAATAAGGGAGACTTCAGTTGGGTTAGTCGGAGCTAGGAACAGTGTGTTCGGGTAGTTGCCAGTGAGGTAGTCATCGGGTGGGGTATCTGAGCTTGGGATTTTATTGGCAAGGTTTTTTCCTATAGTGGAAGAAGAAATCATTGAGTCTGTTTGCTGTTTCAGTAGGTGGGAACTGGGGTTCATCTGGTTTTGTTAATTCAATTTCGCTATTTCGTGTTATCTTTTTTGCTCCTAGTATTTCTGATAGGGTTTTCCAGGTATTTTCTATATCACCTCGTAAGTTGGATAATCTGTTCTCATAATACAATTTTTTAGCCCTTCTTATTAGGCTGGTTAGGATTGACGAGTAACGTTTCGTTTGGTCTCTGGTTATGTGGCCCATTCTGTACTGTTTTTCGTATAGGTGCTTCGTATTTATAGATTTGAGGATACTGGGTGTTAGCCAGGGACTGTTCAGTCTCTTTGCAGTCATCTGTTTAGTTTTTTAGGGCAGTGCTTGTTATAGAGGTATTGGGTCTTTTTTAGAAAATTATTAATACATTCGTCAATATCTGTATAGATTTCTAGCTCAGTGTGCCAGTCAATGTTTGTCACTGCTGCTGTGAAGTTATTGATAGCTGCCTCATTGTGAAGTCTGAAAGTGACTTTAGTAGTGTTTAGGGGTAATTTGCCAAAGTTTGTTATGAGGAAGGTAGGGTAATGGTCTTTGGTATTATCTGTGATTATGCCTGATCTTAAGGGGGATATGGTGTTGGTCCAGATGTGGTCTAGTAGGGAAACACTAGTCTCTGTAACTCTTGTAGGTTTTGTTACTGTTGGTAGCAACATGCAGTTACTCATAGTGTTTGTGAATTCAGTAACATGTGGTCTTGGTCTTGTAGGAGATTTATATTGAAGTCACCTGAGAGTAGTAAGTGATCTTTGTTCATGCGTGCATCAGTTATCATACTTCCTAGGTTTTCACTAAAACGCTAATGTTTGACTGTGGTACTCTGTAGATGTTTATCACTGTGAGAGGTTTTTGTAGGTATTTGGATTTGAATTTAGCTATTATATATTCCCCATGTTCATCCCTTGTGCAAGTATTAGTGATACATTCTAGTTGGTCTGAGTAGTATATAGCTGTGCCACCCCCTTGTTGATCTGGCCTACAGTTGTGTATGGCTGTGTAACCAGGAATGGCATAGACATCTGTAGTATCAGGCTTTAGCCAGGTTTCAGTGAGAGTAATGATGGACATACTGGCATGCAGGGAATTTAGTAATGCTATGAGGTCATCGTAATGTTTGCTTAAAGATCTGATATTGTAGTTAAAGACAGTTATGTTGTTGTTGGCTCTGAGAAGTGCCTTTGATTGTTCTGCTGTGTAGTAATTACAGTTACTGTTTGATTCATTTAAGTCATTAGATAAGAGGTTGGTATCAGGATCAATGCTTGTTATCATAAGATTTATAGTGAAACTATAGTTAGAATTAAGTATAAGACAAAGTAAATATTCTAAAGCTATAAAATAGCACCTGAATTATTTTAACAAATGTAAAAAATATGAGCTAAGGTAGCTCTTTAAAGCTAAAATAAATGAGGCAATATAAAAGGGACTAAAATAATTTGTGGTGAACAAAAAAGTGGTAATCAAATAAACGAATATAATGGCAAAATAATGAGCTTATTACACCTTAGCACCTGAGAATAGCACCTTGATTATTTTAACAATTGTGAATATATGAACTAAGGTAGTTAAATAAAGCTAAAATAAGAGAAAAAATATAAGGGACTAAATTAAGTAATGGTAACCAAAGTTAAAATGACAGATAGTCACTATGATATAATATTGATGTGGGAGTAAGATCTGATTTGTTATATATAATAAGTTGAGCAATATATTGTACTATAAAAAGTAAACAAAAATAATATGAGGTAGTTGGTACTAGTTAGCAAAAGATAGTTAAGGGCCTTGAACAATGATATAATTGAAATATACACTAACTGCACACACAATATAGTCACTAAGATATGAAAATAATCTTAGAGTAGGACTTATAATATAAACTTATAAAAATACAAATTAAAATGGTACTTGCAATTGCACTAGGGTCTGATATAGGTTGTTAACAAGATCAAGAGTATAACTAGATTTAAATTGACAAAATAAAATTCACAAATTAAAGTACCAAAAGAATAATAAGTAAAAAATAACAATGGCAATGACTTGGTTATAATATGATAGTAAGATGGTAGACAGGTACACAGGTACAAAGGATAATATAAAGGTTGGAGTTGAACATACAAACTTGAAAATTTGGCAACAAAATGTTATGAAAAGTATAAAATAATGTATGTAGTATGTATGTATATATGACTGATAGATAGACTGCAAATCACCCAGAACAAAATCGTAAGATTCATCCTGGGGCTGGGACCAAGAGAACATGTAGGCCAGGATGAATTACAGCAGTTGGATATGATGAATGTTGAAGACAGAGTAAAACAACTGAAGCTAAATCATGTTTATAAAATTGCTCACAAACAGTGTCCAGAATATCTTGCTGTCAATTTTGTCAAGGTTGGGAACCAAAGCAATCATAGTACTAGGGGGAGAGAGCACAACTTTGTAGTACCCACAGTCATTGGCCAGGCTTCAAACACCTTTTATTGTACAGCAATAAAGGAATGGAACAGACTACCCGCACATGTCAAAGCCAGTCATAGCATGAACCAGTTCAAGAAGAGTGCCAAAAGGTGTCTGATGAATGTAGCTACAGAAAGGGAGGGGAATGATTTTCTATTTTTTATCTAACATACGTGTAAATTTTACCTTATTCCTAGTAATGACCCTCGTATTGTAGATAGTCTTAATGACCCTCGTGTATTAGATAGTCTTTTTAGTATGATAATAAGATGTTATCTTCATTATAGAATAATAAGAAAATATTATAACCTTTATATTATAATAATAAGGTAAAAGGACCCCAATGGAAATAAGTCACTCTGTCTGACTTTTTTGGGTTATCCTAGGTTCTCTACACATATGCTGCTATAGAGAGATAATTCTATGTAACTGTATTTGTGTATACCTGAATAAACTTACTTATGTAGTATGTATGTATATATGTATGTAGTATGTATGTATACATGTATGTAGTATGTATGTATATATGTATGTATGTATATATGTATGTAGTATGTATATGTATGTAGTATGTATGTATATATATGTATGTAGTATGTATGTATATATGTATGTAGTATGTATGTATATATGTATGTAGTATGTATGTATATATGTATGTAGTATGTATGTATATATGTATGTAGTATGTATGTATATATGTATGTAGTATGTATGTATATATGTATGTAGTATGTATGTATATATGTATGTAGTATGTATGTATATATGTATGTAGTATGTATGTATATATGTATGTAGTATGTATGTATATATGTATGTAGTATGTATGTATATATGTATGTAGTATGTATGTATATATGTATGTAGTATGTATGTATGTAACACTTGGGTAAGGGGAGCGGGGATGAGTTTGCCGAAATACATTGCATAATTAATGCCTTTCTTTTGTTCCCACCAATGTTTTATTACGTGTAAACTACACAAAGAAATAAAAAAAATATTGAAGTGGTGACAGGCGAAGAATTTAAGTAAGTACGAGTGTAGAAACAAGAGCCAGAGCTTAACTTCAATGGAAATAAGCCACCCCAATGGAAATACGCATCTCTGAACTTTTCTTGGGGTTATCTTAGATAATTAAATACATGTTATGTATGATAATTGCACTTATGTGACCCCTCAAGGTAGGTTCCTTGACGCTGGTGAGGGGCTCTTGATCTAGGGAATTGGATCAATGCTCCAGTTCCCTGAATTAAGCCTGAATACCTTCCATCCCCCCCCCCCCCATTCGCTGTATATAACAAAAAAAGGCACAATACCGTGACTGGAACGATACACAAATAACCCGCACATAAAAGAGAAGCTTACGACGACGTTTCGGTCCGACTTGGTCCATTTACAAAGTCAAGTGTGACTTTGTCAATGGTCCAAGTCGGACCGAAACGTCGTCGTAAGCTTCTCTCTTTTATGTGCGGGTTATTTGTGTATTCGCTGTATAATCCTAAGGGTTTAGCAGTCTCCCATGATTATAGTAATCATAATGCGCTTTGGTGTACCAGTACCTAAAACTTATGGGAACCACAGGCAGGTTCCAGCAGTTCAAGTGGGGTTCAGTCCACTGTGAAAGTTGGTCCAGTTGGTTCCATTGGGGTCCAAGGATCTCACAGAGGAAATAAGTCACTTTGGCCTGGGTTATCCTTGGTAATCTACACATATGCTGTTATGTATGAAAACATGGAACTATATTTATGTATACCTGTAACTGAATAAACTTATGATAAGTTATTAAATTTTCTAAAAGCTTCGTTTTGGTTGGTATATGAGTGTTACATAATTGTCCAAGTTATCTATGATTTGTTGTACTCCCTTAACTTCACTCATTACACTCGTTTCACTTACTCATTTCACTCACTCATTTCACTTACTCATTCCACTTACTCATTCCACTTACTCATTCCACTTACTCATTCCACTTACTCATTTCACTTACTCATTCCACTTATTTCACTTACTCATTCCACTTACTCATTTCACTTACTCATTCCACTTACTCATTCCACTTACTCATTTCACTTACTCATTTCACTTACTCATTCCACTTACTCATTCCACTTAATCATTTCACTCACTGGTTTCAGTCATGTACCTACATACAATAATTACCTAGTAACAGCACTCAGGTATCCCTGTACCAAAATATACCAACATACACTCACACTTCAAGGTACTCCAAAAATAATACAAAATAATATATAACTTTCCTAGGCTCCGAAGTATATAATATTAATATATAAAAACCCCGGCCAGTGTTGTGTTTACCTTGGGAGGAGCAGCATGTCTGACCCACCGTCTTATTTATCACTTTTTTACTATATATTCCAGTTATTAGTGACTAATTGAGCCGTTTAATACCTAGGTAGGTGTGTGTGTTTTTAAATGGGGAAAGTGGTAAATCCGTACGGGGGCAAGGACCCCAATGGGAATGTTACTTTGGTTTTTTTCTGGGTAATTTATACGTATGTTAGGAGGTGTTATAATTGTGTTTATGTGTACCGTAATTATTTAATTAATAGTGCTTGGGGAATGGGATACAAGGAGGAAATTAGAAACGAGAACGGAGGAGCACTGCAGTAGGTCTACTGGCCCATGCTAGGTAGGTCCAAGTCGAAATGAGTCACTTTGACTTTTTTGGGTTATAGGTAATTTACATATTAAACTATGATAATTGTACTCATGTGTGCCCTTATTTGAATATATTTACTTGCTTATTTACCTACAAGCTCGGTGCCTTGGATCAAGAGCCCATCATCGGTATCAAGAGGTCGATGGGTTGCTATAATTCAATAGAAATAATATTCTATAATCTGGATTAACCCAGAAATTAATGATGATCCCGAGAAGTAGTTACCTTCCTGACCTCTAGGGTCATTCAGGGACTCTTGATCCAAGGATTTAGAGCTACTCTTCTCTGCCTGACCCCATTAAGGGAGGTGTCTTGTCGAAAATGAGGGGCTTTTGTTCCAAGGAATTAGAGGTACCCTTCCTGACCTCAAGGGATGCACCTTGATTTTGATCCAAGGAATGAGAACAATCCTTTCCCTCCTGACCCCCCATCCTCCCTCAGTGAGGGGCTCTTGATCCAAGGAATCAGATCTATTCTCCCTTTTATTGAACCTGATTGCCTCCCATTTTCCCAGTTGCTGAATAACCCCCATAGGTTTAGCACTCCCCCATGAATAAAACAATAATAATAATCAGCTATAATTGAGGGCTGCTTCTCAGCAGAACTCCGGTATTATTATTATAATACAAGCTGTCTACACAGAATAGATAGCTAGTTATTTCTTGTGTGAATCCCCTCTTCAAGGGAGGCTCCTTGATGCTGGTGAGGGGCTCTTGATCTAGGGAATTGGATCTGTGCTTCAGTTCCTGAATTAAACCTAAATACCTTCCATCCCCTCCCCCCACATGCACTGTATAATCTTACATTATTATTATAATCAAAAAGAAGCGGTATAATCTTACAGGTTTAGTGCTCCCCATGATTATATAATAATTCTTGTGCGAATTGTTAACACTGGAGATATTAACAAAAATAAAATACAGTGGACCCCTACTTTACGATCAGCTCCCAATGCGACCAATTATGCAAGTGTATTTATGTAAGTGCGTTTGTACCTGTATGTTTGGGGGTCTGAAATGGACTAATCTACTTCACAATATTCCTTATGGGAACAAATTCGTTCAGTACTGGCACCTGAACATACTTCTGGAATGAAATAATATTGTAAACCGGGGGTCCACTGTACTGTTATTTTTACTTGAATGGCACATCAGGGCCAATCAACATTCAGTACTGAATAATAATAAAAATAATTATTATCTTTATTTCTACCAGTACATGTACAAGGTATATAGACCATAGCTGACATCAGTGATATACTACTTTATATAGAAAGCACTTTGTTATGCTGAGCATTTCAGGCAAATTAGGTCAGTTTTGTCCCAGGATGCGACCCACGCCAGTTGATTAGCACCCAGGTGCTTATTTACTGCTTGGTAAACGCGGACAGCAGGTGCCTTATGGAAACACGTCCTAATGTATTCCAGCCATACCAGGGAACGGCCCCTGGACCTCAGTGTGTGAGCTGAGTGTGCTAGCAGTCAAGCTATGGGACACCTAAATCATTCGACTTACCTGGGAAATCACATACAACATAGACACACCATTTTCATGTCAATAACGAAGTTGGGTTAGGTTAGGTTACATTAGATTTTGTTACTTTATGTTACATTTTGTTAGGTTTCTCCTGTTGCACGAAGGCAAAACTATTTCCATGGTAGAACCCACTTATCATTGGGCATTACAAACTATATTGCAAAAATAAACTGAAATTTAATTTCTTTCAAATGAGCTTCTTTCTGAGAAACATAAGTAGTATTAATGCAATTCATGTTGGATTTAAATCAGTTTGAATATTTACTGCTGATGCATATCTTAGGTTAAGTTATCATATCATCAGTTTATAATTACAATGGACCCCCGAGTTTCGTGATTAATCCGTTCCAGAGAGCCCGCCGAAGGTCGAAATTCACAAAACTCAAAACCATTTTCCCCATAAGAAATAATGGAAATAAAATTAATCCGTTCCAGACACCCAAAAATATTAAAATAAAATATTTTTTTTTCAAATTAAATAAAGATTTACATAATGAAAACAATCAGAAATCAAGTACTACATGCATTTAAAATAAATAATAACAACAACATTACACTTACCTTTACTGAAGACTTCTGGGTGGATGGAAGATGGGAGGAAGTGATAGGAGGAAGGTGTACACTAATGTTTGGAAGGAGAATCTCCTTCCATTAGGACTTTAGGTAGCAAGTCCTTATCTGGGGTTACTTCCCTTCTTCTTTTAATGCCACTGGGAACAACTTGAGAATCACTGGACCCCTGGCACACAAAATATCTATCCAGAGAGGTCTTTTTCTGGCGTTTCTTTAAGATTTCCCTGAAGTGGGACACAACACTGTCATTGTACATGTTGCAGATACGGCTTGTTTCAGCTTGGTCAGGGTGATACTTTTCAACAAAACTTTGCAACTCATTCCACATTCCACACATGTCCTTAATCACTGAAGAAGGCACCTCATCCACTCCCTCTTCCTCCTCCTCTGAAGCAAGTTCCTCGGCTGTGATCTGATGCTGTTCCAGTTGAAGCTCTTGCAGTTCGTCAGTGGTTAGCTCTTCCCTGTGGTCCTCCACCAACTCTTCCACATCCCCGTCACTCACTTTATTTACCAAAGGGCTTGCACTAGCTTTCCTTGGGTCCATGATGACTTATTTAGCAGTTGCAAGCATAAAAAGCAATAGATTATTATGAAATGTATTGTATGAACCCGCGGGGTGATGGTCACGTGTTGGTAAACAATGGCACACTGAGCGTGAATGGCGTGGGAGACTGGTTTTGTGTGCACGGTGACGGGCGGATGGGTACCGGAGGTTCGCCGAAACACGAGTTTTTTCACGAAACTCGAGGCCAAATTTTTCCAAAACTCGCCAAAGGTCGAATTTCGCGAAAGTCGAGGCTGCCAAAACTCGGGGGTCCACTGTATATACTGTATTTAGTTTATCATTTGAAACCATGTGGAGTAGCATAGAAATAAATTTATTATCATTATTATTAAACTGAAAGCCTGTCCAGGAGATGGATGCCTCACTGTAGCACTTTCACATCTGAGGGATGCTGCTTTTTGGGTCATTCTGGATTATTAACCCTTCAGGTTGATAATCCAGATAAAGTCATGTTTTTGATGACAGGGGTGTTAATCCAATAAAATTTCCTTAGATGGAATATGCATCAGCTTTTTCGAATTCTGGATGTGTTTGAGGATCTGGTCACTTTTATTACGATAGTAAAGGCTGAAACAGCAATCCTTATGTTGGATGTGTTTAGAATTTTGGCAAAATGGATGGGCACATTACAAGTAGGGGAAAACAATGTAGTTTACAGTACTACTGTACCTGCAGTTTTTAGCTTCAGTTCTAAGGGTATCTTGTATTTTGTTCCTATAGTATGAATGAAGCATGCTGGAAGTGGAGCTGGGAGAAAAAACTTTAACCGATTTGGTATTTCTCCTTAAGGTATACTCCAGGTGTGCTCTCCAGGTAAGGAACTTGAGGCTACACAGTCCAGTGCCTTGGATACATGAATGTTGTGGGTACACACTATATGTAGTACATTATGTAGACTTGACGTAGGATAGCCGAGTAGTCAAACACCATGATTTATTTCCATTAATTACCCTGTAGGATTTTTTTTTTTTTTTTTTTTTTTTAAGGAATCTTAGATGTAACATGGGTTATAAAATTTTGCCTCTGTACAGAATATCTATACTGACTATTTGCAGTGATGCAGTTTTCAGTCTTAAATCTCTCTAAATCATAGCACGATTGCAAATAAATTACAGAATGAGTGGGGTTTGAACCCATGGGAAGTGAATGCTGTGAATTTTAGGACTCGCTTGTGTTTTACCGTAATAATTGTACCTCTATAGAGATATAGCATTATATAAATAAAGAGCTAACTAATGCCATGGTAGAACTCATGCCAAACAATTGAATTCAGTACTATATTAAATCATTCCTCCTTTTCTTCTAGGCAAATGTCTGGACTAGATGAAACTGCAGTGCTAATATTTGAGAAGATGGTCTGTAAGGCTTGGCATCAGTTTGTGTGGAGAGTTTCCAAAAGTTTATGTCACCTATTTAGACAAAAGCTGGGTCATAATGTACCTCCTAAAATAACAGACATAGAGGTAGGTATACAGCATTTATATTACTGAAAGTACTAATGCTGGGTAATTTCTTTGTACAGTCGGCAGTAATGCTAGTGATGATAGTTTTAAAATCTTAACCCTTATTAAATGCCCAGGTTTAAATGGTAAACTATATAATTTCCAATAAACATTTGTAAATTGTAATAGTTTCTGCTGCAGTATACATTGCTTGAGTAGAGAACTAATATATAAAAGCTAGTACCTGAATGTACAACATTGCATTGTATATAGTGTATTGTAATACAGTATGTATTTATTCTCTTAAGCGAATTCACACTAGAGTAGACGTGCTTATTCTGTAGCAGCAAGATATACACTTCAGTATTTCTTTTTTACTATTAATACAATAATTTTGTTTATTAAATTTCCAATAAAAGCAGTGCTCATGGTGTCCTACCTCAGTTTTATCATATAGAGTACTTTTTTTTTTTTTTTTTCAACAAGTCGGCCGTCTCCCACCGAGGCAGGGTGACCCAAAAAAAAGAAAGACAATCCCCAAAAAGAAAATACTTTCATCATCATTCAACAGATTCACCACACACACACATTATCACTGTTTTTGCAGAGGTGCTCAGAATACAACAGCTTAGAAGCATATACGTATAAAGATACACAACATATCCCTCCAAACTGCCAATAGAGTACTATATTGTTTAAAATTTCGATGGTTTTAGAACACTACTTGGGAGTCTTTTCTTGTTGTCTTCCACAATTTGACAATAATTACAGTAATTTCTGTTTTTCTGTATTTTTTTAATTAAAAATTTTGGTGGCTTGGATTCAAAACAAATGTGAAGTTTTTTTTATATATGTATAAATTTGTGTATAAGATGGTTTACATATAAAAAATTAGGTGGTTAATATATGTACACTGCATTTTGTATTGAAAGTTGTTGGCTTTTGTTATTGTAATTTTTAAAAGCAAAACACGCCTAGGACCCTCATCATCAGTCCAGACTTAGACCTATTATCCCTTTTCGTGGATCGATCCTGATTACCTCCCATTTACCCAGACACTATGACCCCTTCTGGTTTAGTGCTTGCCTCCCCATGATTTTTTTTTTTTTTTCAACAAGTCAGCCGTCTCCCACCGAGGCAGGGTGACCCAAAAAAAGAAAGAAAATCCCCAAAAAGAAAATACTTTCATCATCATCATTCAACACTTTCACCACACTCACACATTATCACTGTTTTTGCAAAGGTGCTCAGAATACAACAGATTAGAAACATATACGTATAAAGATACACAACATATCCCTCCAAACTGCCAATATCCCAAACCCCTCCTTTGAAGTGCAGGCATTGTACTTCCCATTTCCAGGACTCAAGTCTGACTATATGAAAATAACCAGTTTCCCTGAATCCCTTCACTAAATATTACCCTGCTCACACTCCAACAGATCGTCAGGTCCCAAGTACCATTCGTCTCCATTCACTCCTATCTAACACGCTCACGCACGCTTGCTGGAAGTCCAAGCCCCTCGCCCACAAAACCTCCTTTACCCCCTCTCTCCAACCCTTTCGAGGACGACCCCTACCCCGCCTTCCTTCCCCTTTAGATTTATATGCTTTCCATGTCATTCTACTTTGATCCATTCTCTCTAAATGACCAAACCACCTCAACAACCCCTCTTCTGCCCTCTGAGTAATACTTTTATTAACTACACACCTTTTCCTAATTTCCACACTCCGAATTTTCTGCATAATATTTACACCACACATTGCCCTTAGACAGGACATCTCCACCGCCTCCAACCGTCTCCTCGCTGCTGCATTTACAATCCAAGCTTCACATCCATATAAGAGTGTTGGTGGATGTGAAGCTTGGATTGTAAATGCAGCAGCGAGGAGACGGTTGGAGGCAGTGGAGATGTCCTGTCTAAGGGCAATGTGTGGTGTAAATATTATGCAGAAAATTCGGAGTGTGTAAATTAGGAAAAGGTGTGGAGTTAATAAAACTATTAGTCAGAGGGCAGAAGAGGGGTTGTTGAGGTGGTTTAGTCATTTAGAGAGAATGGATCAAAGTAGAATGACATGGAAAGCATATAAATATACATGTATAGGGGAAGGAAGGCGGGGTAGGGGTCGTCCTCAAAAGGGTTGGAGAGAGGGGGTAAAGGAGGTTTTGTGGGCGAGGGGCTTGGACTTCCAGCAAGCGTGCGTGAGCGTGTTAGATAGGAGTGAATGGAGACGAATGATACTTGGGACCTGACGATCTGTTGGAGTGTGAGCAGGGTAATATTTAGTGAAGGGATTCAGGGAAACCGGTTATTTTCATATAGTCGGACTTGAGTCCTGGAAATGGGAAGTACAATGCCTGCACTTTAAAGGAGGAGTTTGGGATATTGGCAGTTTGGAGGGATATGTTGTGTATCTTTATATGTATATACTTCTAAACTGCTGTATTTTGATTGTAATAATGATTGTAATAATAATACTTATTTAGATAAGTCTTTAATGATAACAGTAAGACTTCTGACTATTTCAGATTGTTCATCAGAGTTGTCATTACATTGTAGTTAACAAAAGATATGATGTTCTCATCAACAGTGATTCCTCAGTAGATGAGGTAAGACTTCAGGTTGGTTTTTGGGCTTGTACAATATTAGAATTCAAACTGAAAAATTTTATTGATTACATTTCCACCATCATTTTGACAGCATATGGTTGTTATCAATAACATTTTTAACACTGGCCGTCTCCCACCGAGGTGGGGAAACACTTTCACTATCATTCACACTATCACTGTCTTGCCAGAGGTGCATAGATACGACATTTCAGGTGTCCCTCCAAACAGCAGATATCCCCCCCAAGCTGTAATGTGAGCATGCTTATGGCAAGACAGTGATAGAGTGAGTGATGGTGAAAATGTTTCTTCTTTTTTGGGCTACCCTACCTTTGTGGGAGATGGCTGGTGTGTTTAAAAAAAATAATTGTTTAGATTATGTAGCTTAATTCTAGTGTCCATATTACAGATTGAACATAAATGCACATGAGAACATAGAGAAGGATGACAAAGCTAGGCTAAAAGCACTGAATTTACACTCTTGAGAAAAGCATAGAAATAGGGCATTATGATAGCAGTTACAAGTGGAAATTTGGAATATATAAAGAAGAAAATATCTAACCAAGATAGGTTTTGTAGATTCAAGTTGGATAAATTTAGCTTTAGAAAGTATATAGGAATATAAATTTAGATTTAGAAAGTATATAAAAATATAAATTTAGATTTACAAAGAATATAAGAATAGGAAAGCACCAGTTTTGCAACAGAGTTATGGATGAGTGGACAAATTACCTAGTAGCATCATTGAATTAGATTGGGCAAGTACAGTAGTTGGGTACAGGAGTAGTCGGGTACACGAGTAGTTAGGCATGAGTAAGTCCTGCCAAGCATGGGCCAGTAGTCCTGCTGCTGTACTCTTCTGTTCTTATGTTATATTAATAGGAAATTTATGCACAATTTTCAGGTAACAGTCCAAACGCAACTTCGACAACTTTTTCCTCACTTGGCCAGTCAGAAGCTTGGACATGAATTTCGATTTGCTCATCGTCTCGACTTCTCCACTAGTGGGTTGCTGTGTGTAGCTCTTCACAGGAGTGCTGCAGCAGCAGTTGCAAAATGTTTTGTTCATAAGCGAGTTGACAAGTACTATTTGGCTCTTGTAAGGGGTCATGTTTCAAAAGAGATGTTGGACATATATCTTCCAATAGGTGAGTTAACCTGTTACTTATACATAGTGCTGGTAATTATGTGAGATAACATTGGCATTAAATACTTTCCAAAATATTTGTAATATATAGAGGTAGTGTGTGTCAGAAAAGACCATATTCAAACAATGGAGAAAAATGCATGTGTGGGGAGATGATTATCATTATTATTATACAGTGGACCCTCGACCAACGATGGCATCGATTAACGATAAATCCGACCAGCGATACATTTTAACACAAAAATTTTGCCTCGACTAGTGCTAAAAAACTCGACCAACACTATTCGTTCCGTCTGAGACGCGTCCACTTCTGGCCAGTGTTTACAAGCCAGCCAGCCACCGCGGTCACTTCCAAGCATACAATCGGAACATTTCATATTATCACAGCCTTTTTAGTGATTGCACCTGCAAAATAAGTCACCATTGGCCCCAAGAAAGCTTCTAGTGCCAACCCTACAGCAAAAAGGGTGAGAATTACTATAGATATGAAGAAAGAGATCATTGCTAAGTATGAAAGTGGAGTGCGTGTCTCCAAGCTGGCCAGACTGTACACAAAACCCCAATCAACCATCGCTACTATTGTGGCCAAGAAAACAGCAATCAAGGAAGCTGTTCTTGCCAAAGATGCAACTATGTTTTCGAAACTGAGATCGCAAGTGATAGAAGATGTTGAGAGACTGTTATTGGTGTGGATCAACGAAAAACAGATAGCAGGAGGATTTAATTAGAAAAATGCCAGCAACTAGTGGTGATGTGAGTGAATTTAAGGCCAGCAAAGGTTGGTTTGAGAGATTTAAGAATCGTAGTGGCATACATAGTGTGATAAGGCATGGTGAGGCTGCCAGTTTGGACCAAAAAGCAGCTGAAAAATATGTGCAGGAATTCAAGGAGTACATAGACAATGAAGAATTGAAACCTGAACAAGTGTTTAATTGTGACACTGACAGTGTTGTGAAACACTTTAGGAATGTCATAAAGGAACGGGAGGTACAGGCCTCTATGGACAGATATGTTGTGCGACAGAGGTCCAGTGACTCTCAACATGGTCCTAGTGGCATTAAAAGAAGAAGGGAAGTAACCCCAAAAAAGGACTTGCCACCTCAAGTCCTAATGGAAGGGGATTCCCCTTCTAAACACTAACACCATCAACACTCTTCCCTCCTCCCATCCCATCAATCATCACCAGATCTTCAATAAAGGTAAGTGTCATGTAACTGTGCATGTCTTCTTCAGTTTGTGTGTATTAAAATTAATATTTCATGTGTTAAATTTTTTTTTTTCAATACTTTTGGGTGTCTTGCACGGATTAATTTGATTTCCAAATTATTCTTTTCTACTGGTATGCAACCCCTCACATGCAGTATATATTATCAATGAAAAATTAAATAATATAGTAACCAGCTAACCGCATTTAATCAACACATACTGGCCCCTTCTGACAATTCTCATCTGATCATCATGGCCTTCTTTTGCAATCATTGTACTGTATGAATACATAAATAACATTATATTAAATGTAAAGGCACAATACAGTAACTGGAACAATACACAAATAGCCTGCACATAGGAGAAAGAAACTTACGATGATGTTTTGATCTGACATGGACATTAACTATCACTAGTTAAAGACCCAAGTTGGACAAAACATTGTCATAAGTTTTGTTCTACCATGTGCAGGTTATTTGTGCACTATTGTAACATCATATTAAAAAAAAAAAGTGCAAAACCCCACAAATTGGAAATTACAGTCAGAAAATGGTTTAGATTACTGATAGGAAAGAGACCTCTACCAAATAACCATCTGGTTAACAGTAGGAAACATTTTTATAAGATGTACTGGTAAGTAATTATATAACTTGTGGACATTTATGTGAATGACTTGGGGTTTCCTTGCTGCAGGCAATGATACACGTGAAGAATGGTATGGGATAAAAATGGCCACACCTCTGAGGCGTTACGCTGGTCACTGTAAGACTGCACACACACGGCTTTTGGTTCTTCAGAAAGGTTTATATGACGGTGAGTTTCTTGCTGCATTTACTTCTACTCCCATTTTTCCATTCTTCTCGCTTTCCTCAGACTCCTCTACATACCCTTACTGTTCTGTAGTTTTAACCCTTTGACTGTCGCGGCCGTATATATACGTCTTACGAGGTACCGTGTTTGACGTATATATACTCATAAATTCTAGCGGCTTCAAATCAAGCAGGAGAAAGCTGGTAGGCCCACATGTGAGAGAATGGGTATGTGTGGTCAGTGTGCACCATATAAAAAAAATCCTGGAGCATGCAGTGCATAATGAGAAAAAAAAAACTCCGACCGTTTTTTTTTAATCAAAATGCCGACTTTGTGGTCTATTTTCGTATAGTATTTATGGTTGTATTCTCGTTTTCTTGGTCTCATTTGATAGAATGGAAAACATATTATAGAAATAGATGTGATTTGATTGATTTTACTATAAAAGAACCTAGAAATGGAGCTCAAAGTAGGGGGAAAAGTTTGATTTTTGCCAATGTTCAAAAGTAAACAAATGATGCCGTTGTCCAATAAATGTCCAACTAGCCATTCTGATATGCAGTCATGAATGGGTTGATGTTATTTATACAATTATTACAGTATTGCAGTAGTCTGCATAATAGTAAGTCTTCTATTTTTTGTTTGAATAAAAATTCAAAATAGAAAGCAAGAGTAATATGAGAGGGGCCTGGAGACATGACTGATGAGCAAAGAAAATGTTATTTTAGAGCCAGGAATGTCTGCATTGTTCATTCTGGACCTTATTTTGAAATTGTCATATTTTTTAGTTTTCGTGAAATTGGCCAAATTGCAAATTTCTGACCACATTATTAGGTAGTTGAAATCGGTAAATGGGCAGTTTCTTGTACTCAATCGATAGAAAATATGGAGTTCTAAAGAAATAGCTATGAATTTGGGCGACTGGAACAATGGAATTAGCCGAAAATAGGGCTCAAAGTGGGCGAAATCGCCGATTTGTAACCACTGAGGTCGCTAACTTCGCAAGAGCATAATTTCGTCAGTTTTCCATCAAATTTCGTTTTTTTTGGTGTCATTACAATCGGGAAAAGATTCTCTATCATTTCATAAGAAAAAATAATTTTTTTTTTTTTAATTTTGCGACACCAGGAGACACCTCAGGATTGGGGGTTGCGACAGTCAAAGGGTTAATACTGCATTTTATTTCTTCCCTGTTTTGGTTTGTAGTGGCATCATATTCCATAAATATTTTCCTGTGTTACACTTTTTTTCTATCTCTTTATCTTCCTCCTCCCATTCTTTCTCCATTTTATCTGCTCTACATTCTATATCTTTTGCTATCTCAGTCTTCACTAAACACCTGTATACTGCATCATTGCTTATTCCCTCAACCTGAGCATCTAGTAAAAGTTTCCCAGGGAGTGCGAGTGACTGTTCCAATGAAGGGTCAAGAAGGTAGGGAAACTCAGAGCTTGACATCAGTATAACTAGTTGTTTTCCCATTGTATTATTACATTCACAGGGAAGAGCTAAATCTGTAGGGGTCATATAACACCATGGAGTTGTGAGAAGCATTCAGGTTCAGTCCGAGGAAGGAGAGGGCAGGTTGTGTCTTGGATCAAGAGTCCCTCATGGAACCTCAGTTGAGGGGAAGGTATTTTCCAGTACCACAGGCTCAATCCAGGGAAGAGCAACTGACCCTTTCTCTTATTTGCCTAGTATACAGCAGTGTATTATTACTATACATTCATAGAAAAAAATGGGGGGGTTATTGTGCATTTGCCTATTGTATCTTCATGAAAGCTTTGAACCTCATTAAAGGTGACTGAAAGAGCAAGACATCAAAGATATAAATTGGTGCATATAGCCTCTTTTAAGAAAAAGAAAAAATAATCAGTGCTGTGCAAGGGTTTGTTTCTCTTTTCCACTGCAGTGCTGTATTTTCATGAGTGACCCCCCACAGCTGGTCTAATACTGAAGCTTCACCTTTCCAGAATATTAATATTGCATGTTATTTTATTTCAGGTTATCCAGCCACTAAGCTACTCTTGAAGCCTATAACAGGTCGACGCCACCAACTTCGGGTACATTTATCAGAGTCTGGTCATACCATTGTGGGAGACTTTACTTATTCCAATCGCCGCGACATTTTGCCTTATCGCATGTTTCTTCATGCATATAGGTTAATAGTGCCTTCAGAATTTGAGTATATTGATGTAAGAACTGATGATCCATTTTCTGAAAATGACCCAAGAAATAAATGGGTTCCAGTTGAAACAATTCATTCCCTAACTGATGAAGCCTTTGATAAGTTGAAATTGGGAAGAAAGTGGTACAAAAATAGAAATTCTTAGCCCAAAGTACCTAAAATGAATTTAAAATTTTTAGTTCTGTGTTCAGTGGATTGTTTTCAAAATGTTTTGACTGCAGCGGGCTTTTTTTTTTAAGGTCTAATACAGGCAGTTACAACACAATCCCTTAGCCTTGATAGATGATAGTCAGTACCTTAGCCCACTAGTGGAAGTAGGTCATGTTAACAACTTTTTAACAATAGAACAGGAGGAGACATCCCTTGTACCAAGATGCCATGGTATTGTGTCATATAATATGATATTGCTAGCAACTATCATGCTAAACAGTTGCTAACATCTATTTAGCATAACCTACTTCCACTAGTAGAGCCTGTTCACCTTTGGTTGTCTCCAGCTGCTGCACCTTACTTCTAGCTCCAGTATACAAGCCTCTGACCTCATTCCTCTACTATAGGCTAAGGGACTGACCATTTCTATCAAGGATATGGGACTGATCATCTAAAAACTACCTCTCCAGTTCCACTGTCTTTATTGTTATAGATGCCTGTATTCAACTGTAGAATCCTGCTGCACAAGCAAAACACTTTTAACAATAAAAATATCCATGTGTTGCCCATATCCTACTCGTCAACGTGTCGTCATTATATACCATTTATAACATGATACTGAAACGGGGGAAAAAGTGATACTAAGATTCCTGAATCACCATATAAATAACATAAGGAAAGTGGCCAAAAAAAAAGCAAAGTTACAGTAAACTGGTTAAGGGTTACAGCTTCAAGCATTACAATAGTAACTGTTTACACTGACATCATTTGTTGGAAGCTGAAAATTTTTTGTCATAAATAAAACAAGTATTACAGGGGGAAATTGCATAGTTTGATTAAGAAAGACCTGATCTAGCAAATATAAAACAAACACTTGGAAGGAACCTAGAATGAAACTAAATACAACCTCTGCTCACTTAATGACAGAGTTAGTTCTTAAGACCACATTGGTAAATGAATTTGTTTCTAAGCAAGGCACATACTATAATGGTAGTGGGATTGTGCCAACCATATTGTTTTAATGTCGCCTTTGCACCCGTTGTAAGTCCGACTCATTGTTAAGTGAGGAGAGGCTGTAGTGAGGAACTTAAACATTGCCCTGAGTGTGTAAATCATAGTTTACAGGCTTGTAAAGAGTATCTATAGGTCACAGTTTTATGTGAAAATATTTATTATTTCTATAGTATTAGTCAAAAAATGTGCCAAACCCATGTGGGTCACACAGTGCTACATGGAAGAAGGAAAGTGGTGTGAAGGGTGTGTTCGCATCCTAAAAATTTAAGGCAGTTTCAGCATGAGTATTAATAAGAAGGTATTCCAGTGGTTTTATGTAACATGATCCTTGAACTGGTGGTCATTACTGCAAGGAAATAAACTTTAGGTTTGTATTACTTATCTGTTATTCCTAGCATTGCTCTTGGCTCTTCAAGAGAACAATTAGTGCCTATACCACTAAATGCTTGCTAAAACAGATTTGGCAAATTTAACGAAGATAAACAGCAACACAATGGAGCCCATTGAGGGCAGACTCATTTTTTCCAGTACAGGTGCAGCGCTGTATGACCCTTGTGGGTTTAGCGCTTAGTCATGATTATAATAATCTAGTACAGGTACTCCTCAACCTTTTATGGGTTCCGTTTCAATGAACCCATCATAAGTTGAAAATATCATAAGTTAAATATTCTTTCAACAACAAACCGGTCGTAGCCCAAAAAGAAAAACAAAAGTTTCTCTTTTTAACTTTAGTAGCACATACAGGAGAAGGGGTTACTAACCCCATGTTCCTGGCATTTTAGTCGACATAATGGGCTTGGGAAATTTTTATTCAAACGGTAAAAAAAAAAAAAAAAAAAAAAAGTGCTCATTACTATCGAACAACTGTAAAAAATTGAAACATCGTAAGTCGAACCTTTGTAAAGTGAGGAGTATCTGCCGATGGATTGCAGTCTTTGGCCTGGGCCAATGGGAGGCATTCTGGTTCACTCCAAGGAAAGGGAGGCCAGGTCCAATTCCTTGGATCAAGAGTCTCGCTACCATCAAGGAACCTCCCTTATGGGTTAGGATTTGAAGAGCACTTTGACCGTGTACATCGTTCAGCATTCTTGGCAATAAAAACATAAAGCACATGCAAGAAAAAAAATAAAATTAATGAATATTAAAAAATACTTCTTTCAATGCATCAGCCATATCTTACTGAGGCAGGGCGGTCCAAAAGAAAAAATGAAAGTTTCTCCTTTTACATTTAGTAATATATACAGAAGGGGTTACTAACCCCTTGCTCCCAGCATTTTAGTTGCCTCTTACGACACACATGGCTTACGGAGGAAGAATTCTATTCCACTTCCCCATGAAGATAAGTGGAAATAAATAAGTACAAGAACTGGTAAGAAAAATAGAAGAAAACCCAGAAGGGTGTGTGTGTATATATGTAGTATATGCTTGTACAGGCATATGTAGTGTGGCCTTAATGTAAGTAGAAGTAGCAAGACATACTTGAAATCTTGCATGTTTATAAGACAAAAAAGACACCAGCAATCCAACCATCATGTAAAACAATTACAGGCTTTCGTTTTACACTCACCTGGCAGGACGGCAGTGCCTCCCTGGGTGGTTGTTGTCTACCAACCTACTACCTAGGAATATTAAAAACTTCCTGCATGAATGACTTTAACACAAAAAAATGCTAGCATACCAGCATCACTTAAAAATCCTATTAAATTAATATAAAAAAAAAACTCTATAAAAGTTTCCCCAAGGTGCCTACAGGAACCTGATAATTAAAAAAAACATGATTAAAGCAAAAAGGTCGCAGCTGTGGATAAAATTAAAATGTGCTGCACGTGCTTGATCCAAGGAGGTGGAGTTACCCTCCCCTTGGATCAAACCTGATTACCTTCCATTCCTGTTGCTGCATAATGATGTTATTAAAATATAGCAATGTACAGTGGACCCCCGCCTTACGATATTATTTCATTCCAGAAGTATGTTCTGGTGCCATCACTGAACGAATTTGTTCCCATAAGGAATACATGTATTGTGAATTAGATTAGTCCATTTCAGACCCCCAAACATACACATACAAACGCACTTACATAAATACACTTGCATAATTGGTCGCATTGGGAGCTGATCGTAAAGCGGGGGTCCACTGTATATACCTTCCAGGACCTATACAGGTTATGAATATTTTATTTCATCAACAAGCCATATCCCACCAAGGCAGGGTACCTGGAGTTTACCTGGGTAGCCCAAGAAAGAAAAATGAAAGTTTCTCTTTTTAAATTTAGTAATGTACACAGGAGAAGGGACTACTAGCCCCTTGCTCCCGACATTTTAGTCGCCTCATATGACACGCATGATTTATGGAGGAAGAATTCTGTTCCACTTCCCCATGAAGAAGGCTATATTATTATAATTAAAACTAAGCACTAAACCCACAGGACATACAGCACAGCACTGCTACATATAGGGTATAATTGTGTGTTCCTGGTAATGTTTTGTACTTTTTTTTTTTAGCAAATTTAACCCTTAGTTGTTAGTGTAAAATAAAAAATAATATTGATGTCAGTATAAAGTAGAAAACAGACAAATATTATAATTTTATTTAAAAAATTATAAATTTCACATGAACTTCAATAGACAGCATTATTTACTGGAAAAATTACCAAAATCTTCTAAGACCTTATGCTTTTCTCTTACTAAAATAATATAAAAATATAGCTTAAATGAATGTGCTCATGTAATGATTTATGAAGAGAAATAACCTGAAAAAAAAAGAAACATGTCATTAATATTTTTGCAGCCTTTAAAATTTCAGCTTCTATACAAATGTGTACAAAAATAATGGGATATACACGCAATGACAAATGCAAGTTAAAAAATAAATAAAAAATTCTACACTTAGAAGCTATCATACGTATGCAATCCATACGTACAGGCAGAAAAATACCACTTCAGTACTTGGACGAAATTTTTTATAAGTATACATGTAGTTGTATTGTATCATTTTATGTCCAGCAAAAGCTTTGTATGGCTTTAACAAGTTGAACGCTTTTTTTTTTTTTTTAGATACTAGTAATAAATAAAAACAGGCATAATACCATAACTGTAACGATGCACAAATTACCCACACATAGGAAACTGAAACTTATGATGACGTTCAGTCCGACTTGGACCATTGCTGTGTCTAGTTAATGGTATAAGTCAGACGAAAATGTCATTATAAGTTTCAGTCTCTTATGTATGAGTTATTTGTGTAAAAACAATGTGCTGATCAAAGGCAATTCCTATTTATATAGATTATTTTCACTTATACCTCAAAATAAGCATTTGCAGTATAGCCTTTCCTCACTTCACGACTGTGTTCCATTCCTAAGACCACGTCAGTAAACGAATTCGTCACTAAACGATTAGCATACTATAATGGTAGTGGGTTTGTGTCAATCATCTTTGATATTCTTTTAATGTCACCTTTGCACCATTTATAACATTTTTAGTATATTTTTAAATGTCTATACAGTAGTACACTGTATATTGTAATAAACAAATAGAGGAAATCAGTTCTAATATACATTATTTGGGTATGCATACTGGTCAGAGAGCTTGCCATAAGTCCAAGTCGTCAGTAAATGAGTACATCGTTAAGTAAGGAGAGGCTGTATCAAACAATTAGAAAATATAATTTGTTTTATGGAGAAGGTATGTCACAATCTGAGCTCTTACACCCCTTTATTCCCTTTTTAATACTTAAAGACTTTACATATTGAAGAAATGCTAAAAATACCTAAAAAGTATTTTTAAGTGTTGTTATCCCACTTGCGCTCATCTCAAGCTTGACTCTAATGTTAGCTATATACAGCCTCCCCCACCTTAGTGACGTATTCATTTACCGATGCCTCGGACTTACGATGGGCTCTCTGACCAGTATTTATACCTAAATAATGTATATTAGAGCTGATTTCCTCTATTCTGTTTATTTCAATATACAGTACACTATTGTATAAACAAAGGTGACATTAAAACAATATCAAAGATGGTTGACACAAACCCACTACCATTATAGTATGCTCTTCACTTAGCGATGAATTCGTTTAACGACGTGGTCTTAGGAATGGAACTCCGTTGTTAAGTGAGGAGAGGCTATATTAGTTAATTTAAAAAAATAAACGTGTGTGTGTGATAGTACAGTGGACCCCCGGTTAACGATTTTAATCCGTGCAAGAGGGCTCATCGTTATGCGAAATAATCGTTATGCGAATGAATTTTCCCCATAAGAAATAATGGAAATAAAATTAATCCGTGCAAGACGCCCAAAAGTATGAAAAAAAATTTTTTTTACCACATGAAATGTTAATTTTAATACACACAAACTGAAAAAGGCATGCACAATTACATGACACTTACTTTTATTGAAGATCTGGTGATGATTGATGGGATGGGAGGAGGGGAGAGCATTATCTTCTTACTGTTAGAAGGGGAATCCCCTTCCATTACGACTTGAGGTAGCAAGTCCTTTTCCGGGGTTACTTCCCTTCTTCTTTTAATGCCACTAGGACCAGCTTGAGAGTCACTGGACCTCTGTCGCACAACAAATCTGTCCATAGAGCTCTGTACCTCCCGTTCCTTTACGATTTGTCTAAAAGGGGCCCCAACGTCATTAAAATATAAGCACCTTCAAATTTGCAGGGTTTTTTTTCTTTATAAAGGTTTATTTAAACTGTCCCAAACATTTTTAATTTTTGGAAAGGATTCCAATCTGGGCCTAACCCCCAAACCCTTAAAATTTTTTAAATTTTAAATAAATTTCTATTTTTTTAAGGGTTCACTGGTTTTCTTCCCCGGGCCTTTTTAGAAACGCCCCCCTGTAATAAAAAATTTCCGATGTTGTTGGGATGTTCCCGGAGGGGTTTTAAAAAAAGGGGGGGGGAAAATGTACTTTTTGGGGTTACCCTTCGGACAATGAAAAAAAGGGGTTTTTAAAAATTCGGTATGGGCCAAAAATTTTGGTAATAGTAATTTTAATCGGTGGCGGAAAAATTCTGTTGATTGCCTTTTTATTTAAAATCGGGGGTCATTATATGGTAAAAACTGAAGGCACCCATGAGCCAGAGTTTTATTTCAGTCAGTCAGTTTTATTTTTTTAGTGCTACTGTTCTTGAAATGAAAAGTTCCAAGAAGAGTTGATCGAGGTATGACAAATCAACGAAGCATGTCCTTGAAAAAGGCACAGCAAGAGTACAGCTGCTGCTGATATTCGCAAAGTTAGGTTGAAAGGGAAAGGGGAAGAAGTGTGCCTGATAATAATGCCACCAACATCTCTGGTGTTCAAGATTTATCTGAAATAATGAGTCCATCCAGCACCAGTTAAGGTCAGATATGAGGTGTCTAGTACCTTTGCAATGGGCTCAGGAAAGACTAACAGAGTGATGTATACAGATAGTGAACTTGTGCTTATACTACTGTTCCTTCAAGTGGACTCTTGAAGCTACCCTTTCCCTCCTTGGATAAAATCTGATTACCTCCATTTTCCCTGGTGCTACATAAAATATGGGTTTTAGTGCTTTTCCCCATAAACTAGTAACTTGTTTTGACAGGACCCTCTTATCATATCTGTTCAGAGGTACAAGTATTGTTCAGCATAGCTACACAAATTTATCAGACTGGCTATGTGAGTAGCACATCTTTCTCACAACTGGTGGAAAGACAATCAAGCCTCCATTCTTGCTAAATGAACCAAATGGGTTTAGCACTTCACATAAATGTATAATAATCAGATTCATTCAATGACTGATGGAAAGGTTAAACAGATCATTTAGGGCATTGAATGATGCATTCAGTTTTATCTCATAGTTTTCCATTTCTAATCATGGATCAAACCAGATTACCTCCTAAATTTCATCCCCTCAAGGGAGGTTCCTTGACACTGGTGAGGGGCTCTTGATCTAGGGAATTGAATGCAGTCCAATTCCCTGAATTAAGCCTGAATACCTTCCATCCCCCCCCCCCTACAGGTGCTGTATAATCCCTATGGGTTTAGCATTCCCCCATGATTATAATAATCCAAAGATTCATAAGTTTCTTGCTCCTACATGCAGGTTATTTGTGTAATGCACCCAGGTGTTGCATAACCCATAGAGATTTAGCACCTACTCAAGAATATAATGTTCTCAAGAAAACTATTGTAAATCATCAAATATAATGGAGCTTTCTAGGATGGTACAGCCAGGCTATAAAATACACGATCTTCTACAAAATACAGTACTTTGAGATTCAGCAATCTTACCTTTCTCTTCAAATTTGCTTCTTAATGGGTGGTTGTCTTTCACAGTGAAAGGTAACACAGCTTTCTCATAATATTGCCCACAGATCTCCAGGTTGCTAATGACAGTGGACAAGAGGTGAGCCTTGCCTGCCCATGTTCCTAAGGAAAAATCAAATTTATAATTTTGCTATCAGTTCCCCTCAAGGCAGGTTCCTTGATGCTGGTGAGGGGCTCTTGATCTAGGGAATTGAATCTGTGCTCTAGTTCCCTGAATTGAGTTTGAATACCTTCCATCCTCCCCCCCAACAAGCACTGTATAATCCTACAGGCTTAGTGCTTCCCCGTGATAATAATAATTTGCTATCATTTACAATTAACACTTATAATGAATGGAATGTAGTAACAATTCATATGAAATGCTTGAATATATTAGATATTTTATAATTCAAAATCATAAGAGTAAAAATAAATAAATCTTTTTTCAAGTCTTCAGATAGAATCTTAAATGAATTTACCATACTACACAAAATTCATAATACATCTCTTAGCCCTAGCTGTTGTTATTAGTACAATAGAACTCCCATATCCACAGGGGATACATTTCGAGAACCTGTTGTGGATACCAAAACCATGGATAGTAGCAGACCCTATATATAAGTCCTATACATACCTATTACAGTTTAATTGATAAATTATGCACAATAAGTGAAGAATTATCATTTTTTTTCACTGATGGGAAGCACTTCACAGCTTCTCTAAGGCTTTGAATAACTGCCAGCTTCTCTACTTTTGTACTTTGGGCCATTATTATGCAAAATTAAGAGAAATTTTTAGGCCACAGTAAACCGTGGATAACTGAAACCATGGATATGGGGGTTTTACTGCATTTGCTTTTATAGTGAATTGTTCAGAACTCCAATCTAACTTGACTTGACCTTTGCTGTCTCCACACCTTCCAGTGCCTTGACCTGCACAACAGTACTGGTTTTTATTGCGTTCCACTTCACCTACAACTTAATCATTATCTAGGACAGACAAAATTTTTGTCTGGTTTTTGTTTCCAGTAAGTGAGCTTATTGTGAAATTCATGGATAAAGAAATATTATAAAGCCTAAAATAAATTATAACAAGTCAATTAAATGGGAGCAAGGGGCTAGTAACCCCTTCTCCTGTATACATTACTAAATGTAAAAAGAAAAACAACTTTCATTTTTCTCTTTAGGTCACCCTGCCTTGGTGGGAGATAGCTGGTGTGTTGAAAAAAAAAAGTCGAACTAAAAAAACTACACATAAATTAGGTGATCAAACTGTCTTCATGACAACCCTGCATGGTAAAGAAGGTAGTAGGGGGGTCACCTTAACAGCCCTGCTGTCAGGAAAATGGATTCTAGCTTACCTGGAGCTTCAAATGAGATGGCTGTATAGTGAACATGAAGGTGATAGAATGAAGGTTGGTAATGCAGATACACACGCAGCTTGTGAGCTGGAACACCATACTTCTCCTTGATTGCTGCCTGAAAAGAAACAATCATATTTGTACCCTGCAGAATGGTGTTTATTTACTCAAATTTAGTTTATAAAGAGAGGCTTTTAAATTCATAGTTAATCTGTACAGAAACATTTGTTTCACTGCAATCAACCCTTTGAAAATGCATGTCTTAAGTTCACAGGTTCAGAGACTGTCATGTAAAACAAAATATGCTCATAACTTCAATTATTATTATTACAGTCAAAACTAAACACTAAACCCACAAGGTTAATACTGCACTGCAGGGCAGGATGCGCTCAAGATGGAATATGCAAAGAACTGAGAGCAAGAGGGAGAGTCGGTAAGGGTAGTGGGAAGTGCTAAAGGGAAAATATAATCAAAGTTGGTGTAATAATACAGTCACTGACAAAATCAAAAGAGAGAGTCTGCATCAAGCATGGGGTTGTTGCTAAGGTCAGATAAAGTGTGTGTTAGAGTGGTGCCAACGATGGAGGTCAATTCTGCATGTCTGTTTTAACTTCAAAGGTTTCATGACACATTTCACCTAGGATGTATGTCAGTAACAGCAAACATAATATACTGTACTCTAGGAAGGTCTTCATAGGCAACTGCACGAACCCTCTAAGCAAAATGCTGAATTATTATTATTTTTTTTTTATTATCACACTGGCCGATTCCCACCAAGGCAGGGTGGCCCGAAAAAGAAAAACTTTCACCATCATTCACTCCATCACTTATTATTATTATTATTACATTAACTATTTCATTCAGAGGAAGCACTAAATTTATAAGAGGTCAAACAGCATCTGGGGAATGTGAGGTAATCAAATTCTAGAGAAAAGAGGAGGACAATCCAGTTCTTTGGATCCAGAGCCCTTCAACATCATCAAAGAATCTCGATCGAGGGGAATAAAATGTTAACACCAGTGGCTTGTGACTTATGCCATTAGTACAGGCAAATTACATGATATGCATACTTGAAGAATTAAAAAAAGCATTGTATACTACAAAATTATGAGAATGAACTCTCTTCAATTTCCTAGTTCCTTTCTATCCCTTCCTAGTCTTCTCCACCTCTGCTCCCTCCATAAAAACATCCTGATCTATTCAGTTAGAAATAAGTTTATCACTGCCTCTATTTATTTCTTTGCTCTATAAATTTTTCTGATACTGGAATACATCATTAACCTTCAATTTGTTACAAGGGTTGGCCATCATATTCCTGTATTAGAGATTTTTTAATTTAGCTACTATTTTTCCTATAAAATTGCAAAGCATTAAAACACCATAACTCTGAAAAGCCAAGTGAAAAATAATGATACACTGCTTCTATATAGCGTGTATAAACAGTGCCACTAAATGTCACACAGCATCTACCGTACTTTATGGCATATAAGGTGCACTTTCTACCCACAAAAAGTTTTGGGAAATCAGCCTGTGCTTTATATACTCAAGGTCAGGGTTACACTTAGCAGTTGATTACTAATATTATGTTACAACTGCTTGGAAACATTGTTTTATATGCTCATACACCTTATACGACGGAAAATATGGTAGGCAGCAAGCGGTTAATGAATAAGTTATTAGTATTTATAAGGAAATGTCAGCAAACGAAGCAACTTACCCTGCCTTTATCATGCATATTTTTGAGCAGGGGAATGTGACATCCTCGCAAGTCACGTAAGCTTGTTATGTCTCGACGACACACAATACCCTGGAGGTAAAGGTCTTCCAATTGTTCCCCAGTCCACTTCAAATCTGGTACAAGTATGAAGCCTGTTTCAGCATCTGGATCCTCAAAAATGATGCGGTCTGCTTCCTTTTTATGTTCAAGGATATTGTATATCCACTGGAAAAAAATATACATTTAGAATGTAATTTTGCTGCAATTACTTAATATTTTTAGTGGGGTACACACATCATTTTAATTACTTATTGAAGTTTGCATGGGTGAGTCATTATATTCATATTTCTCATTAGGCAGATATTTTTATAAGGCTGTGCATATGTAAACCTGTATCTATGTATGTACAGGCGAGCCACACTTCACAGTGCTTCATTTTATGGCATTTTGCCAATGCAGCAGTTTTCAATCATACCCATTCTTCATTTATTTAGACTTCCTACAATTACCATATTCACCACTCACTATGCACTAAGGACAAAAATATTTCAAGGTAAGTAATGTGTACTGTATATGCATTATATAGGCTTAGCTCTATTACTCACTTAATATGATAGTGTAAATATGTTATCAGGCTTTTACAGCAATTTCACCTTACAGCAGTAGCAAGCTGCTAACCAGACTGAGAGTCAAAGATCTAAATTAATTTTTTATGAGAGAGCCACAGAATTTGGTAAGCACAACCTCTCTGACATTATCCTGATGCCAAATGACTTCAAACAGGTGATAAATGACATGCCCATGCACTCTGCCCCAGGCCCAGACTCATGGAGCTCTGTGTTCATCAAGAACTGCAAGAAGCCCCTATGGAGAGGGAGCATGGGCACGGGGGTCGTTCCACAGTTCTAAAAACAACAGACATAGCTCCACTCCACAATGGGGGCAGTAAAGCAATAGCAAAGAACTAGAGACTGATAGTGCTAACATCCCATATCATAAAAATCTTTGAAAGGGTCCTAAGAAGCAAGATTGCCACCCATCTAGATACCCATCAGTTACACAACCCAGGGCAACATGGGTTTAGAGCACGTTGCTCCTGTCTGTCCCAACTACTGGACCACTATGACAAGGTCCAGGATGCTCTAGAAGATAAACAAAATGCAGATGTAATATACATAGACTTTGCAAAAGCCTTCGACAAGTGTGACCATGGTGTAAGGGTGCACAAAATGCGTGATAAAGGAATAACAGGAAAAGTTGGTAGATGGATCTATACTTTCCTGAAAAATAGAACACTTAAAGTAATGGTCAACAGAGTAAAGTTTGAGGCAGCAATGGTTAAAAGCTCTGTTCCGCAAGGCACAGTACTCGCTCCCATCTTGTTCCTCATCCTCATACCGATATAGATGGGGATATAAGCCACAGCGACGTGTCTTCCTTTGCAGATGACACCCGAATCTGCATGACAGTGTCCTCCACTGAAGACACTGCAAAGCACCAGGCTGATATCAACCAAGTCTTTAAATAGGCTGCAGAAAACAATATGAAGTTCAATGATGAGAAATTTCAACTACTCCGATATGGTAAACGTGAGGAAATTAAAATTTCAAATTCCAACCACACATTAGAGCAAAAAACTAATGTCAAAGACCTGGGAGTGATCATGTCGGAAGATCTCACCTTCAACGACCATAACATCGTATCAATCGCATCTGCTAGAAAAATGACAACCTTCAAAACCAGGGATGCCAAGCCTATGATGAAACTTCAGGTCGCTTGTTCTAGCTAGACTGGAATATTGCTGTACACTAACAGCATCTTTCAAGGCAGGTGAAATTGCTAACCTAGAAAATGTACAGAGAACCTTCATGGCTCGCATAACTGAGATACAAACACCTCAGTTTCTGGGAGTGCTTGAAGTTCCTAAACCTGTACTCCCTAGAATGCAGGTGGGAGAGATACATGATTATATACACTTGGAAAATCCTAGAGGGATTAGTACCAAACTTGCACACGAAAATCACTCCCTACGAAAGCAAAAGACTTGGCAGACAATGCAACGTGTCCCCCAATGAAAAGCAGGGGTGCCACTTACACATTAAAGAGACAACACAATAAGTGTTAGGGGCCCAAGACTGTTCAACTGCCTTCCAGCATACATAAGGGGGATTACCGATAGACCCCTGGCTGTCTTCAAGCAGGCACTGGACAAGCACCTAAAGTCAGTACCTGACGGGCTATGGTTCATATGTTGGATTGAGTGCGGCCAGCAGTAACAGCCTAGTTGATCAGGCCCTGATCCTCCATGAGGCCTGGTCACAGACCGGGCTGCTGAGGCGTTGAACCCCGGAACTCTCTCCAGGTAAACTCCAGTAGCCGAGAATCTAACCTGCTTTATAAGCAGGGCCCTCCTGTACAGGTATTCATGCCGTCCTAGTCATCGGATTTTACTCTACATGTCCAAACATCACCAAACAACTCCTACTCAGCCCTCTAAATAATACTTTTGGTATCCCCACACCTCTAATCACCAGTACGCAAATTCTCTGCATAATATTCACACCACACATTGCCATTGGGATTGGCGGAGAGCATGTATAGTCCCTTTATATAAAGGGAAAGGGGACAAAAGAGATTGTAAAAATTATAGAGGAATAAGTTTACTGAGTATACCAGGAAAAGTATACAGTAGGGTTATAATTGAAAGAATTAGAGGTAAGACAGAATGTAGGATTGCGGATGAGCAGGGAGGCTTCAGAGTGGGTAGGGGATGTGTAGATCAAGTGTTTACATTGAAGCATATATGTGAACAGTATTTAGATAAAGGTAGGGAAGTTTTTATTGCATTTATGGATTTAGAAAAGGCATATGATAGAGTGGATAGAGGAGCAATGTGGCAGATGTTGCAAGTATATGGAATAGGTGGTAAATTACTAAATGCTGTAAAGAGCTTTTATGAGGATTAGTGAGGCTCAGGTTAGGGTGTGTAGAAGAGAGGGAGACTACTTCCCGGTAAAAGTAGGTCTTAGACAGGGATGTGTAATGTCACCATGGTTGTTTAATATATTTATAGATGGGGTTGTAAAAGAAGTAAATGCTAGGGTGTTCAGGAGAGGGTGGGATTAAATTATGGGAATCAAATTCAAAATGGGAATTGACACAGTTACTTTTTGCTGATGATACTGTGCTTATGGGAGATTCTAAAGAAAATTGCAAAGGTTAGTGGATGAGTTTGAGAATGTGTGTAAAGTAGAAAGTTGAAAGTGAACACAGAAAAGAGTAAGGTGATGAGGGTATCAAATGATTTAGATAAAGAAAAATTGGATATCAAATTGGGGAGGAGGAGTATGGAAGAAGTGAATGTTTTCAGATACTTGGGAGTTGACGTGTCGGCGGATGGATTTATGAAGGATGAGGTTAATCATAGAATTGATGAGGAAAAAAAGGTGAGTGGTGCGTTGAGGTACATGTGGAGTCAAAAAACGTTGTCTATGGAGGCAAAGGAGGGAATGTATGAAAGTATAGTAGTACCAACACTCTTATATGGATGTGAAGCTTGGGTGGTAAATGCAGCAGCGAGGAGACGGTTGGAGGCAGTGGAGATGTCCTGTCTAAGGGCAATGTGTGGTGTAAATATTATGCAGAAAATTCGGAGTGTGAAAATTAGGAGAAGGTGTGGAGTTAATAAAAGCATTAGTCAGAGGGCAGAAGAGGGGTTATTGAGGTGGTTTAGTCATTTAGAGAGAATGGATCAAAGTAGAATGACATGGAAAGCATATAAATCTATAGGGGAAGGAAGGAGGTGTAGGGGTCGTCCCTGAAAGGGTTGGAAAGAGGGAGTAAAGGAGGTTTTGTGGGCTAGGGGCTTGGACTTCCAGCAAGCGTGCATGAGCGTGTTAGATAGGAGTGAATGGAGGCGAATGATACTTGGGACCTGACAATCTGTTGGAGTGTGAGCAGGGTAATATTTAGTGAAGGGATTCAGGGAAACCGGTTATGTTCATATAGTCGGACTTGAGTCCTGGAAATGGGAAGTACAATTCCTGCACTTTAAAGGAGGGGTTTGGGATATTGGCAGTTTGGAGGGATATGTTGTGTATCTTTATACGTATATGCTTCTAAACTGTTGTATTCTGAGCACCTCTGCAAAAGCAGTGATAATGTGTGAGTGTGGTGAAAGTGTTGAATGATGATGAAAGTATTTTCTTTTTGGGGATTTTCTTTCTTTTTTGGGTCACCCTGCCTCGGTGGGAGACAGCCAACTTGTTGGGGAAAAAAAAAAAAAAAACATTGCCCTCACTCATAACATCTCCAGTGCCTCCTCCTGTCACTTTATCCTTTACAAAAACTCTTCACCATCACTATACATGATGTGTCCTACACTACCAACACAATTCTAACAATTCTTTAAATACAAATCATATTTTTTTACCTCTTTACTGAAAGATGATGAGTCTATGAAAGGTTTAGTAATCTCCTTGTACAACTGTGGAGTCTCATCCACAAATGAGCATGACTGTCTCTCAAAGCGAAGAATGTGCTTCTCTTCTGCAGGGTAGATAATGTTGGCTCTGACATCTGCAAAATATAATACCATAAGGAAATCAATAATTTTCCAAGACAGTACTGTACTTACTGAAAAAATATTGCCATTTATTGCAAATGTATACAGTAATTGATAAATGTGAATACATTTTTTAACATTTTTTACATAGTTGCCCATATATCTGTTATACAGTAATTGTTGATGGTTCCAAGAATCATCGCCTTTGTGCCCCAATATTAATCCAGACCTTATTAAATGGAAAGGATGTCTTTTACAGGAATGAGTGCTATGCAGAGACACAGGAAAGTAAAGTGTAAATAAAAGTTTGCAAGAGTAACATATTATGTTATATATTCATCAGACAGAAGAAAAACAAATCAGTAACCCTCACTAGATGGCTGCTGTCTACCAACATAGCACCATTAACTGGTTTTAATAAAAATACTATACATATAAAAAATAAATAGAATTCGGTAAATCAATAAACAATAACTGTAATAGTGCAATATAATGAAAACTAATGAAGATTAAAGTGATTATGATTTTTATATAAATACTATACTCCAGTTTTTAGTAATCTATGTAACAAATTAAATACATACAGTGGTCTCTCAATAATAGTCCGGCTCGATA